TTGAACTCCTGGTCACAGGTGAGACCTCAGGTAGATTGAACTCCTGGTCACAGGTGAGACCTCAGAGTTGTAGAAGTAATGAAATGTATACGTTCTGGTTGGTACATGAGACCTAATGAGATTCAAGGAAACAGCTATTGATCTTTAGTTTAAATCTGTCAACTCTATCTTTTCCAGCTGAGACAGCACCACCTAGCTTCCTTCAGAGACTTCAGAGCTCCACAGTGAGACAGGGCAGCCAGGTGAGGCTGGACGTCCGAGTCACAGGTATCCCAACACCTGTGGTGAAGTTCTACAGAGAGGGAGCAGAGATCCAGAGCTCTGCCGACTTCAGGATCCTCCAGGAGGGAGACCTGTACAGTCTGCTGATAGCTGAGGCCTTCCCAGAGGATTCTGGGACGTATTCTGTGACCGCCACTAACAGCAGCGGACGAGCCACATCCACCGCTGAACTGCTGGTTCAAGGTGAGGACCTTTTAACTGTATTGTATTATATTTGAGTTTTATTGACTGGAGGGAGATGGACTCTGTTAGCCTAGCTTAGCATGGAGAATGGAGACTGATACAACTCAAGCCTAATTTACCAACACACTGAACTGTTTGATGAAAATGTTTCTTGTATGTTGGTTTAAAAACAGTTTTTATGAAATGTTTATTTCTATGTTTGACTGATTAAAATGCTGCTTTTTTGAGACATTGTTCATTAATTTCAGATTTTTTCTCATTAAATAAAAATGATGAAGTCATTCATAACATATCATAATATACACTGAGATGATGCTTTAGATTAGATCCCTTTAATGCTCATTTTTATGTGTCTTCATAAAAAGAATTAGCATTTTGCATAAACCAACACAAGGCACATTAGAAACACACACAAAAAAAAGCTTATTAAAAATAGCTCTTTGATTTAAGAGTGATCAGCAAAGGATAAAATCTGTTCTTTAGACAAGCGAATGCTCCTGTATTATATTTATTATCGTTATTCCACTTTCAATTCTAGGTGAAGAAGCTGTTCCAGCAAAGAAAACCAAGACAGTGATTTCAACCTCTCAGATTTCACAAACTCGGCAAACCCGAGTGGAGAAGGTAGGAATGACGGTGGACATTTTGAATCATGTAAAATATAATGAGTCAGATTCTGAGGGCGATCGTCTCCGTCTCATCACCTCTGGTTTGTCCTCAGAGGATGGAGGCCAGTTTCCAGGCCACCACCATGATGGAGATGCAGGTAGGGGGCGCCGAGGTGACACAACAGCTGGCTCACAAGACCCCGCCCAGAGTCCCTCCCAAACCCACATCTAAGTCCCCGACCCAGCCCTCGCTGGTCGCCAAGGTGACAGGAGGACGCCAGCAATCCCCGTCACCCGTCAGACATGTTAAGGCGCCCACGCCAACACCTGTCAGGTGGGTGAAGCTTAAACTTCAGTTTATTTAAATAGTTTATGTACGGTGGCCCCGAGGTGCAGAACACAACCACAAAGATGCGACAAGAAATGTGTTGTTTTGCCGCTCAGGGCCACCGTACACTGGTGTAGATTAGTGGCGAGTGAGCAGGGTGATGATGCTATTGGAGGTTGGCCTCTGTAGGCCTGTAACATGACCTCCCTCCCCCGGTCTCCAGGCCTGCTTCTCCCACTTCAAGACTCTCAGTCTCCCCCATCAGGCCAGTCAAGTCCCCCATCACCACCCGAAGACAGGGGGCCGCCGGCACCGACGTCTTGCCACCATGGAAGCAGGGAGACTACGCTGAGGCCAGCTTAACCAGCATGACCAGTATGACCACCGTCACCCAGCTCGGTCAGGAGCAGCGCTGGGAGCAGGTCGTTGGGGTCAAAGAGGTGAGGGCGGGGCTGATACACAGAAAACTGTCACTGTTGTCATGGCAACCTGTCTACCCTAACCCTTTTTCAAACCTTGCAGATTTAATGAACATGAATGAAATTCTTTAACTTCAATTCTTCACTGTACAGTTCTCTACTCCATAAAATCTTCACATTACAATTTAACATCGGAACAACTTCAGTCATTCTTGTCTCCTTAATTAAAATAGCAGTTTTTTCAGGTTTTGGTTGAAAAACTGTGAATCTTCATCAGATGTCTACACCATGTGTCCACTATTTTAAATTCTTTCTGAAATACTCCTGTGACCTCACTTTGCTTTGGTTATTAGCCTCAAACTATCAAAATGGATTCTGAATCATCTGAAACGCAACGTGAGCCGAGTTTCACGCAGAACACTGAGCGATGGGAAGACGCTACGATGACATGTGACCCCAGCGTTCATGGTTCTGTTCAGTCAGACGAGTCAAACACAATTCATCGAGGTTTTCATGAAATTCACGATGAAGAAGACAAGTTGTCTTGTGAGACTCATGTGGTGAAGTCATCAGACAGTGAGTGATGACAAGACAGTGAGTTTTAGTCCGTCGTACGCTGCTGAAGATCTCTCCTCTGTCTTTAACCACAAAGACTTGTCACCAGTTTCAAATGGAGAGGTTGTCCTCCTCCATTCAGATGAAGGACCTTTTACATTTCACAAAGGAGATGTCTCTGATGAAGAGAAGGTGTTAGCCTGGACCAAGATGTCTGCCAGAGGACCAGGCCGCCTGAAGAGCAGGTGTCTCTTGTTCCATCATGAGTGGAAGCGTCACAGTTCCTCCCTCTGTTGGAGTTTTGTCGTTTCGTTGTCACTTTTCTTTAGCAGTTTTTTTTCTTCTCTGATGACTTCACAGTTTTTGTTTCTGCACATTGAACAGATGCTGGAGCATGTTGTTGTTGTTGTTGTTGTTGTTGTTGTTGTTGTTGTGTTCAACATGTTTACATGTTCACACACTGGTTTCCTGTTCATTATCGTAACTGTTAACTTTTGTATTTGTATTTAACAAAAAAACCAGATGAATCCAGGTTCAGTGATAATCAGTCCTCATCTGTACAGATGCAGGTGGACTTTTTTTCCTTCATTTTTTCTGTTGCATCATTTTAACCGTTAATGTCTTAGAATGACTTTAAATTGTGGCTTTGTTGCATCATCAGCTGGACATCTGGAGTTGGGACAGGGTTGGCCTAGCTTAGCATAGAGGCTTGAAGCAGCTCAGCAGTTGACATGTTCTATCATATTTGTTTATTTTGTGAACCAACGAAAAATCCCAATCACATTCAGAGCGTGTTTCTCTAAACGTTCATTAATATATTTATATATTCACCACAAACTGGAGACAAACATCACCAGGTTTATTCTCACTTCTTACTGACCAGAGGTTTCCCCAGCTCCCAGTCTTTAGCTCTGCTAATCACAAGGTTTATCTACTGACCATGACAGACCATCATCTTTAGCTAGCTGGTTAATTAGCTAATGCTACATGATAACCGATCACACTAACACTGATCCAAACCTTGAACCTTGAAGAGTCATGTAGAAGAACAAAGTTAGCTAAGCTAAGGCTAAAAATACTGAACTACTCCATGAAATCGTCCTCAGTGAGAGAGAATATATGTTCATAATATATATGGGTTAAAATTTACAATGAATAATTTGAGGACATGAATAATAAGACATGTCCCCACGTTCCCGCCTGTCTCTGTACCTCCGTCCTGATATCTATGTGCTGCTCGTTGTGTCTCCAGGCCGTGGAAGGGCAACGAGCCGGAGCGGTGGCCACAGTGATGGCCGCCGTCGACCTGGCTCGTGTCCGTCAGCCCATTCAAGTGGAGGGTGGTGGAGCTGAAGAGGCAGAGTTAAGGCAACAGGTCGCTGCTGACCAACAGGTCGCTGCTGACCAACAGTTTGGAGGCGGCTGGACAACAAAAGAACAGATGCTAACTGCTCAGTTTACACCTGAACCGGCCCTGCCGCTGCCTCAGGTTAGATAGGCAGTGACACCAAAATGACCAACAGATCTTTCTGTTTATTCTATCTATTGTAAAAGAGTGAATCTGTCATGATGTCATGCTCTGGTTGTAACACACTGAACTCTGTTGGCTGCTCCAGATTCAGAAAGCGACAGAAATCCACGTGGACACTGGTCTGGTCTCGTCTCCAGTTCCACATTTCACGGTTTCTAAAGTTTCTGTCCCAAAACCTGAGTCTAGCTCTGAGGTAAGAAGAGGCAACAGTAGAGAATCATCTGCATTCAAAAACAATTAAAACCAATAACACACATCATTAACTGCTAACATTAGCAGTTTGAGTGAAATGGACGGTAAACGTAGCCATTATGGATAAAGGCTGTTTGAACAAGTAGGTTAGAAAACAACGTCCGACATTATTACTGCCTGTTATTTTGAAGTGTTGCCAGAATGATCAAATAAAATAACAAGATGTTTTTCTTCACACAAACTAAATGCAGTTGACATTTATTAATCCAGCTTCACTTTCCTCCATCATCGCTTCAATAAAACTAACGTGCTGTGGTTTAACACGCACTTAATGAACCTTTTCTTGATGATGGTGTGGCTGTTCCTTCTTTGGCTCGGTCAGGTTTCCATCGCCGGGTCTGCTATCGCTACTCTGCAGAAAGAGTTATCTTCATCCTCTGCCGCCGCTCGAAAGATCATCAAGCCCGTCAAGTCTCCCAGTCCATCTCGGAGAGTGGACGAGACCAGAGGGACGCCAGAGCCCACACCTCCGCCGTTCAAAGATTTCCCCGACACATATCAGAGTCATTATGGCGCCAAGACACAGAGGGGGGTGGTGTGTTCGGGGGGTATGGAGAGAATGTATGAGGACTGGGGAACCCAGGTTTGTGCTCTAGTTTGAGTCTTGAACTGAGCAGGACAAGAAAACCTGACGAGCAGATGAACGTCAGATCGTTTGGACTTAATCAGCAATAAAAGTGTCTTTAACCAGAGCGAGATATCTTCTACTGAATCTGAGGGGCAGATTGATTTCAGTGACGCTTCTGATCATTTCAGCACCAAACTTTACATTTTGATCCAAAGTACTAGGTACTAAGATAAAAAGCAGCTAACGCACCTAGTGAGGTTTTTCAAAAGTCCGGTTTTCTTGATTTCTGTTAAAATCCAGGAAAACAGTTCCTATAATGACTTCAACTTGCTTGTTGATGATATTGACAACTTCATTCTTACCTCTTCAGCTCATCACCTTCCTGTGTTGTGTTGTCTTGTCTTCACATGTTGGACATGAAGTTCTTGTCTTGTCTTGTCCCTCGGTGTGAACATGTTGTGGATTTTAGAATTAAGTGAAAAATCTGCTGTGGTGCTTTGTGCTAACAAGTCCGTTACTACATGGCAGGTGGTGGAGGCAGCAGCCGTACCTTCTGCAGGTGGTGCCGTGGTTCCACCCACACTGGTGTCTGTAAGTAGCATAATTCTCCCCAAAATCCGGAAATATGTCCACGCAGATTTGGAAATGTGACATTTTCTAAAACTTGTCTGTAGGGCTTGAAAAACACAAATGTGACGGAGGGTGAGTCCATGACCCTGGAGTGTCAGATCAGTGGGCAACCTGCACCAGTTATCATGTGGTTCAGAGAGGACTACAAGATTGAGAGCTCCATCGATTTCCAGATCAGCTATGAAAATGGATCTGCTCGGCTGGTGATCCGTGAAGCATTTGCTGAAGACAGCGGCCGCTTTACTTGCACCGCCACTAATGAGGCGGGAACAGTCAGCACCTCCTGCTACCTGCTTGTCCAAGGTCAGTACAAACTGTAAGATAGAAGGAAAAGGATGAAGAAAACATTGATTTTATAACATCCCAAAAGGAAAGTTTTCATTATCCTTCTGAAAATGTAATTACTTTAAGAAATTCTCTGGGTTTCGTGGAGCCTCTTCTCTCTTCATTTTATATATTTCTCTTTTTGTGAAGTCCTTCACCTCCTAGTTATTTATCTATCCATTATCCCCTGGTGCCTTCCTGTTGAGACCAACTCTCTCTCTTTCAGTGTCCGAGGACATCGAGAGCAGGGAGGAGATGGCTGTCATCACCGAACATGTTGAAACTGCTCAAGAGACACTGTGAGTCCATCAGACACTTTGTTAAAGTTTGCAACACAAATTAATAATATTTAACACCTGATCAACAAAAAAAAATAAAAAAGTTATAATGTCAGAGGCACAGCTCGGCCCTGAAAATCCCAAAATGATATTTGTGTTTCCAGTGTAACCGAAGAAGCCAAAGAGGAAACCATGTCTCAGGTGAGCGTGGCAGAAACAGATAGTGCTGCCGCTGCTCCCTTTTTCATCAAGAAACCCAGCGTTCAGAAGCTGGTGGAGGGAGGAGGTATCATATTTGAATGTCAAGTGGGCGGAAGCCCCAAGCCACACATCATCTGGAAGAAGAGCGGCGTACCGCTCACTACCGGATACAGGTTTGTATTTTCTTTATTTGTTCCTCCCGCTTTTACCAAAGAAAACCTCTGACTTGAAATCCAAAGGACTCAGTGTAGGTTTCACACATTTAAAGACAAACAACACACACAAACACTCAACTACACATGTCAATGCAGCAGTTTCAATTTGATTGTGCATTTTAACATTTAAGAAACTCTATTAAAGGTTTCCACACAGTCTCAAACTCTGCAGTCCTTCCCCTGGTTATATAAGTCATTCTTTCCAACACAATACAAGAGGCCATCTCCTTTATCCACACTTGTATCGAGCACAAATCTATTTTTTGGGATTTTTTTTAGGATTGACCATAAAGTTTTTGGGATAAATACCAAGTATACAAATGTTTGCCTGATGAGGTACCTTCACTCCAACAATCTCAGATAAAGTCAGAACTTTCCAATATTTTTTTTTTTTTTGGCAGTCCCATACAGGTGGTACAGAGTACCCTTTCCTTCCAAGCACTTAATGCACGTGTCTGGCACATCAGACCACCATTGGTTTAACCGGGGTAATCATTTGTATTGTATTAATTTCATTCTAGAACTGATGGATTGTTTTTGGGCTTTAAAACATGCCTTTTCCCAATCAGCCTTTTGCATGTCTTCCTGATATCCAGTCTCCATGCCTCTAGCCTGTCGATGGTGGACTCTTTATCATATAACAGCAAAGCTGTATAGAATAAAGAAATCTGTTTCCTCCCCTCTAGGTGCTGAAGTGTAAGGTCTTCAAGATGTGATAGTGGTGGTTTCAATTGCAGATACTTAAAAAAATGTTTTCTAGGAATAGAGTATGCTTGGCACATCTGATCAAATGTAAGAAGATTACCATCCATATAAAGGTCCTCTATTTTTTGCGCACCATTACCTGCCCAGATTTTGAATCCACCGTCTGCACTTCCTGCTTTGAAATATATATTGCCCCAGATGGGGGAGAAATGAGAGATGGAAAGAGTGTCTCCAATATGCTGATGTGCTTTGTACCAGATGTCAACAGTGTTCCTGAGGAAAGGGTTCCCTGTTAATCTTTTTAGCTTCTCTGGGTCTGCAGAATACATATACAGCCTTAATGGGAGGTTTGGTACTGATGCCTGCTCAATATTCACCCAGGCTGGAGGGGCCTCCAGTGAGAAATAAAACATTGCAGAACGTAACTGGGCAGACCAATAATACAATTTCAGATTTGGAAGCCGTAGCCCTCCCCTCTCATATGGCAAGTACAGCAATCTGAGCCTCAGTCTGGAAGTGGGAGTGATTGAAACAGGTATAAAAATGTTGGTAATATACTCATTTTAATCAGATTTATACTGCCAATCATTGATATGGGCAACATCAACCATCGATCCAATGTCTCATTTACTTCGGCTGTTAGTGGATCACAGTTTGCTGAAATGATCATTTAAATTTTGGGTGTATTTCTGACACCAAGATAGGTGAATCCTTCCTTTGCATTAGAAAAGGGTTTTTTTATGACCGGTTTCAATCTCTATCTTTATTTAAAAACAGTATCGATGATTTTGCGTTATTAATGTTACACCCAGACAACCTCCCAAACAGTTCAAACTGTTGTAAAAGATGTGGGACACTAATTGACAGTTTAGTGAAAAATACAATCACGTCATCAGCATACAAGGATATTTTATGCTCCTGTTCTCCTAAACAAATGCCCGATATGCCCGTCTGTGTCCTTATTGCCATAGCCAGTGGCTCTATGGCCAATATAAATAACATAGGCGAGTAGATCGCTCCAAGGTGACTGGTTTAGAGATTATACTATTTGTTAAGACACTGGCTGTTGGGCTTGTATATAAAATCTGAATCCATTTAAGAAATTTCTGTCCAAATCCATATCTCGGCAAAACAATAAATAAGTATGGCCATTCTATTCTATCAAAAGCTTGCCGGGCATCCAATGAGAGTGATGCTGTATCTTTCGCATCAAATTTTGCATGAATTATATTAAGAACTCGTCTAATATTGTGAAATCCTTGACGCTTTTGGACAAAACCATTCTGATCATTATGAACTATGCATGGGATATAAGGGTCCAGTCTTCTTAATAAAGCTTTACAAAGTATTTGTGTGTCACATCCGATAAGGCTTATTGGTCTAAAGGAGGAGCATTCTGTGGGGGGTTTTCCTGGTTTCAAAATTAATGTTATTGTTGCTAGTCTTAAAGAGGGTGGGAAAGTTCCTGTTTGATAGGATTCTTCAAACATAGTGGGATTAATAGTTTTTCTTTAAATGTTTTATAGAATTCAATAGGCAAACCATCAGGCCCTGGAACCTTGCCACTGTTAATATTTTGGATAGCCTGTGAAATTTCTTCAGTTGTCAAATCACCATCTAATTCATTTTTAGCATCTTCCGTCGGTGTCTGGAATTGAAACCGATCAAGAAATGTATCCCGTTCTTCTGCGGTTTGGGGGCATTCTGACCTATATAAGTTTTCGTAAAATTCTCTAAAACTATTATTAATTTCCACTGGATCTACTGACAGGTTCCCCAAAGGAATCATTATATTATTAATTGCTCTCTCAGACTGTATTTTTTTAAATCTCCATGCCAAAAGTTTCCCAGCTTTTTCCCCTTGATCGTAATAGGATTGTTTTAGCCACATTAAACTTTTTACAACTTCATCAACAGATAACTTATTATATTCGGCTCTCGGAAGTAGCAAGTCTCTCTGTTTCCTTGGACCATCCCTTACATTTAGACTTATCTCTAAGGATTTCATTTGTTTTTCCAATGTTTCCATCATTACCCTTTGTTGTTTGGTCTTGGAGCTTGTGTAACTGATGATTTCTCCTCTAATGTTTGCCTTAAACGCTTCCCATCTCGTGCTGGCACTGGTTTGATCTGTATTTAACTCAAAATAACTGTTTTAGTTCCCACATATTTAACAAAGTCCGGGTCCTGTAACCATCTTACTTGCAATCGCCAATTGGGGGGGTTATGAACAAATTTCTCTATATGCATATTCAATGAAATAGCAGCGTGATCGCTTATTACTATGCTGTCATACCAACATCTTCAACCAAATTGATGTCATCTATATATAGCTTTAGCAATTTTTTGCCTGTGCCTTATAAGTATCACAACCTGTAGAGCGATCCATTTGCGGGTTTAAAATAGAATTAAAGTCTCCAATAATATAGAAGCCCCATAGACATAGTAAGGAAAAGATTATCCTCATTTGGGCCATATACACTAACTAAATTTAATGTGAGGGAGGGATGTTACTGTGCATAATGATGAATCTCCCAGCTGGGTCCTGGATTGTTTTTATTGGTTGGAATGGTATGCTTCTATGAATTAAAATAAGTAAACCTCTAGCATAATTACTGTATGATGCATGTATCACTCTACCAGGCCATCTATTCTGTATCAGTTTATCAGAGACTGTCAGATGGGTTTCTTGAAGAAATATTATTTTTGACTTGAGCTGTTTGATCCTGTTTATAACCTGTTTCACTTTAGTCAGTTTCCGTAGCCCCCTAACATTCCAGCTTGTAACTTTTAAAACTTCTGGGATTCATTGCAGGGTTACACCATACCTCTTAAACAAGCACTGTCAGCTGGTTTCCATGGTGAAAGAAGTAAACGGGTCTCACACCGCTGGCTTCATCCAATCCCTCAGACATGTTTATTGTGAAAGTCCTCGACCTCTTTTGGTGATTAAAAAGAGTGTATCCTCTTGTTATGGAGGACTCTCATTTTGCACGGGTTAAGCTGAATTCCACGAAAAGTTCCCTTTTCAATGAACATTTTCTTTATTGCGTTGAATCCAAAGCGCTGTCGCATGGTCTCGGCTGAGATGTCCTGGATGAAGAAAAGCTTGTTTCCCTCATGCATGATGTCACGTTGTTTAATGGAGCTTTTGACATAGTCCCAGTTCAATTGGTATTGTTGACTTACAGTTTTAAAGTTATTAAGTGCGTAGTTGTACGAAGCATCCACATTATGCCGCCATCTTGGTCCGTTGCCCGATAGCACCCCAAGGCATCTGTAATGAACACTGCAGCCTGTAGGGGATCACTAGTCATCACCTCTTTGCTGTCCATCAGATACAAAGTCACCTACAAGAAGGAGACGGGAGAGTGCAGGTTAGAGATCTCCATGACTTTCGCAGATGATGCCGGAGAATATTCTGTGTTTGCCAAGAATCAGCTCGGAGAAGTCTCAGCCTCTGTCGGCCTGCTGGAGGAAGGTACGTGATATACCATTGTATCCAAGTAAACAAAGAACAAAGAGAAGAGAAGTTTTGTCTTGTAGAACTTCAGAACAAAATAATTTCAAGATGTGTTTAGTTCCATTTGACGATTGTTTTCTGACAGAGGAATACGAAGCCTACATGAAGAAACAGGAAGAAACCTTCAAGACTGAAGTGACCACAGTGGTGCAGGAGCCCAGAGTGGGAGACATTCCCCCCGTCGTTGTTACGACAATGGAGCAGATGACCACCACCATTATCTCAGGACAGGTGAGATCATTATTAGTCTTGTAACAGAGTTGAGCAATGATGTTTATGTGTTTTTGTGGTCAAAACATCATCCGAAACCACCAACACCTCGAGATACAGATTAAGATCCAGATCCAGAAACAGATTAATACAGCAACAGGCATAAAGTCAGTTGGTGCAACCACAGAAATGAATTCAACAAACCACAAACAGTTTCCCATTTTAATCAGTGTCTTTGTAGAATATTTACGTTTGTTTAAAAGTGCAAAGGAAATGTTCAGTGCTAAATGGACCAAAATGTAGGACACAGTACATGAAGTCAAAGTAATGATGGTGAAAATATATCTATTATTTTTTCTCATAAACTATTAAAGTTCAAAAAGAGCCTGATTCTTCTTGGAGTTTTTTGATAACCAGGACCCATGATCAACCGATGGTGACTGATTGATTGACAGTCATGGTTGATAAAATGAACTGAATCTCTTTGTCACATGTGCAGGAATTTCACCTTTCTGCCATCGAGCAGAGGATAATCGAGGAGATCGAGCTCCACATCATGAAGATCACCTACAGAGAGATTGTGACAGAGGATGGAGAGTTGATGGTAACCGCCACCCCAACAGATGCCCTGCAGCCGGCCTTTGACACTCCAGTCAAAAACTACAGGATCATGGAGGGAATGGGCGTCACTTTCCACTGCAAAACGGCTGGAACACCACTCCCTAAGGTACTTATGTTTAATAAAATGTTCAACAAATATTAAATGTTTATGAGAAATTAAAAGTGTAAATTCTCCACAGTGGTCTTAGAGAATAATTTTTCCTTTCACCAGATCGTTTGGTACAAAGACGGCCAGCGCATCAGGCCTGGTGGCCGTTATCAGATGGAGGTTCTTCAGGATGGGAGAGCCAGCCTGCGCCTGCCGGTGGTGCTGCCTGAGGATGAGGGCGTGTACACCGCCTTCGCCACCAACATGAAGGGAAATGCCATCAGCTCTGGGAAACTCTATGTGGAGCCGTCCGGAGCTGTAACACCTCAGAGATACACACCACAGCCAGCAATGCAGAGGATCAGGTATGGTTTCACTCAGATGACTGAGGAAAAAAGTTTCGGATCGTAAACACCTGCGTACTGACGATGTTTAACACTTCTTCAGATCCACCTCTCCTCGTTCTCTGAGCCGCTCACCTGGTCGCTCTCCCAGCCGTTCTCCCGCCCGCCGTCTCGATGAGACAGATGAGGCTCAACTGGAAAGACTCTACAAACCTGTGTTTGTTATGAAACCGTCCTCGTGTAAATGCTCTGAGGGGCAAACTGCCAGATTTGACTTGAAGGTTGTTGGCAGACCCATGCCCGACACCTACTGGTTCCACAATGGTGAGAGAAACACAGATCAAATATTCATATACCAAGTTGTTTCACTGGAGTTGGTGTGACAATAACTAGAATCTGTTCATCAGGACAACAAGTGGTTAGTGACTACACCCACAAGATCGTGGTTAAGGAGGATGGTACTCAGTCCCTGATCATTGTCCCTGCCATGCCACAAGATTCTGGAGAATGGACAGTCATCGCTCAGAATAGAGCTGGACGCTCGTCCCTCTCCGTCACTCTCACTGTCGATGGTAATATTTGTACTTCCACCAAAACTCTTCTCTGTCATTTAGAAGCAGATTACTGTAATGATTTAAAGTTTTCTCAACAATTTATTTTCTTCTCAGCTAAAGAAACGTTGGTGCGACCTCAGTTCACTGACAAGTTGAAGAACATCAGTGTCAAACAGGGCACTCTGGTTGAACTGGCCGTTAAAGCCATGGGAAACCCTCTGCCTGATATTGTCTGGCTGAAAAACAGTGACATCATCTCACCACACAAGCACCCACACATCAGGTATGTTTGAGACACAGTATACTCAAGGTACAACACATATTCACATACAGTATTTATCACAAAGGTCAAATAAATGACTGATTACCAACTTTGCCAACTTTTATTTTATGTGTTTCTCATCTAAAAACATACAAAATAAATCCAGTATATTTGAGCTTTGGCTTTTTAGTCAAGGGAGGAGTTGCATATTCTTATCTTGGTAACTCCAAAACTGAGTAGATGTGATTCAGCTTCCATTTTACAAACAGCAGTTCTATTTACTCCCTATATATGAGTTCCGATAAAACAGAGGAACATGTGGATTTCCCTAGATTCAGGTTTCTGGTCATTTTGAAATATTTTCAAGAGTTTTAATCATGAGAAGAAGGTGCAGAGTACAACAGTTTGAACTGTATCTATGATGACTAATAACTAGAAAAAGGCAAAAAATAACAAAATAAGACTGGAATGGCTGCACTCACTTTGACTCATCACCTCAGTCTAGATTTGTTACCCTGGTAGAACAATAGTATTGTTATGTTATTGTTGTCTTAAAAATCCTCAAAAGTTAAAGCTAACATAACAAATCCATGTTGCAGGATTGAAGGAACCAGAGGAGAGGCCAAATTCCAGATCCCATCTGCTTCAGGCACAGACAGCGCCTGGTACACAGCTACTGCCATCAACAAGGCTGGTAGAGACACCACTCGCTGCAGAGTCAATGTGGAGGTGGACTATGCTGAACCTGAACCAGAGAGAAAACTTATTATTCCCAAAGGAACATACAAGGCCAAAGAAATCGCTCCTCCAGAGTTGGAGCCCCTTCATCTGCGATATGGCCAAGAGCAGTGGGAGGAGGGCGACCTTTACGACAAAGAGAAGCAGCAGAAACCACTGTTCAAGAAAAAGCTGACCTCTATCAGAATGAAGCGTTTCGGCCCTGCTCATTTTGAGTGCAGACTGACTCCTATTGGTGACCCCACCATGCTAGTGGAGTGGCTGCACGATGGCAAACCCCTGGCTGCTGCTAACAGGTTGCGCATGGTCAATGAATTTGGCTACTGCAGCCTTGACTACGAAGTTGCTTATGCTAGAGACAGCGGTGTCATCACTTGCAGAGCCACAAACAAGTTCGGAGTCGACCAGACCTCGGCCACCCTGATCGTCAAGGATGAGAAGGGTCTCGTTGAGGAAAGTCAGCTTCCTGAAGGCAGGAAGGGAGCTTACAGAATGGATGAGATGGAGCGCCAAGCTCATGAGGGAGGACCCTATGGAGTCACTGCTGATGAAGAAACTGAGAAAATGAAACCTGAGATTGTCCTTCTCCCTGAACCAGCCAGAGTGCTTGAAGGCGACACAGCCAGATTCCGTTGCAGGGTGACCGGTTATCCAGCACCTAAAGTTAACTGGTACCTTAACGGACAACTTATCCGCAAAAGCAAAAGATACAGACTTCGTTATGATGGTATTTACTATTTGGAGGTCACTGAAATCAAGTCCTATGACTCAGGAGAGGTCAAAGTGGTGGCAGACAACAACCTGGGCTCAGCCGAGCACACTGTGAAGCTGGAGATTCAGCAGAAAGAGGACTTCAGAACTCATCTGCGTCGTGCTCCTGAGGTGAAGGCAGCCGAGGCTGCACCTGAAACAGGAAAAACAACATTCGAGGTGGTGAAGGCTGAGAAACCTGCAGAGGACTCTCAGCTGAAAGAGGTGGTCAAGCTCAAGAAAGCCCAGAGAATTGTCCATCAGAAAGCCACAGAGGAGTCAGAAGAGCTGAGGAGTAAGTTCAAGCGCAGGACAGAGGAAGGATATTACGAGTCCATTACCGCGGTGGAGCTCAAGGCACGTAAGAAGGATGAGAGCTATGAGGATCTGCTGAAGAAAACAAAGGAGGAGCTGCTTCACCGCGCCAAGGAGAAGGAGGAGGCCGAGAAGAAGAAGGAGGAGGAGCGCCGCAAAGTTACAGCCAAACCTCTAAAACCAGAGAGAGTCAAGCTTTCAGTCAGTATGGAAGCTCCTAAGATCCTGGAACGTATCACAAGCCAGACTGTTGCACAAGGTGAAGAAGTTAAGTTCCGAGTCAGAGTTGTGGGCAGACCAGAACCTGAGTGCCAGTGGTTCAAGAACGGTGTTCAGTTGGAGAAGTCTGATCGCATTTATTGGTACTGGCCTGAGGATCATGTGTGTGAATTAGTGATCAGAAACGTCAGGGCAGAGGATTCTGCCAGTGTCATGGTTAAAGCTTCAAACACTGCAGGAGAGACTTCAAGCCATGCTTTCCTGCTGGTGCAAGGTAGCATATCCCTCAACTTTCACCTGTTATTCTATATTCAAGTTGTGTGTTTTCTAACAAAGGTTTCTGCCCCCTTTTGCAGCAAAGCAAGTCATCACCTTCACACAGAAACTGGAGGAAATTAACGCAAAGGAGAAGGACACCATGGCAACCTTTGAATGTGAGACCAACGAGCCGTTCGTCAAGGTCAAATGGCTGAAGAATAATGTAGATATCTTCTCCGGAGACAAGTACAGGATGCACTCTGATAGAAAGGTTCACTTCCTGTCTGTGCTAATGATCAACATGAAGGACGATGCAGAATATTCCTGTGTTGTTATTGACGACGACGTCAAGACGACTGCAAAGCTTAACGTGGAAGGTGGGTTGTCTTCCGTTAAAGAGGACGAAACCTCAGTGTTACAGTTTTATTGAGAGATGATGGACACAGGAGCACATGTAACTATAACTGAACATTGGTTTGAATTGGTTCAATATAGTCTGTTTAAAATATTAAAATTCTTTAGCATAACCAACCAAATTAGCTCAGGTTTACATACAATTTTTATTTTGATTGGGCAGATCCACCGTTGTTATCTTATGAAATATGTGTGCTTGTAAGGGGACAAACTGTATCTGCTCCCTGATGCAACATGATTTTCTTTTACCACTGGGTCCAAGTGTCTGACTGTAAACGTTGATGTCGTGTCTCTGTGATATCATAACCAGGAGCTCCTCTGGAGATCTTGAAGCAACTCGAGAGTACAGAGGTGCCAGAGACATACTCTGGAGAGTTCGAGTGTCTTGTGTCGCGTGAAGATGCGGAAGGAAGCTGGTTTTTCGGACAAAAGCTGTTGTCCCCTGGCAGTAAATACTTCATGTCCTCCCGTCGTGGAAGACACACCCTGTCTGTCAAAGACGTCAAGAAGGAGGACCAAGGAACATATTCCTTCAAAGTGGGCGAGTTCAAGACGAGCGCCTCACTCAAGATGAAATGTGAGTTTTGTACTAATCAAAAAAATTTGTCATAGAGGTTTGTGTTCACCAGAGAATAAAACACGAAGATTTCTGTTTCCTTCTGTACTTACCTGCTGCTCTTTTCCTTTCGTTTTCTTAAAAAATTCCCTTAGAGTTTTTCTTGCTTACCAGAGGATCATCCCTTATAATGTTTTATAATCTGTCTCATCATGTAAAGGTTAAAACCACTTTAGGAGTGTGTTTCTGGAGCCTGACAGGTTTGTCTTGATGTTTCAGTGCGCCCAGTGACCCTGATGCAGCCATTGACTGACCTGACAGTGTGCGAGGGCGACATTGCACAGATGGAGGTCAAGTTCTCCCAAGAGAATGTTGAAGGAACCTGGATGAAGAACGGGCAGCCTGTCACAGCCTCAAACCGAGTCCACATTGTTATTGACAGACAGACCCACAAACTGTTGTTTGAAGACACCAACAAAAGCGACTTTGGAACATATTCCTTCGTCGTTCCCGCTCAGGAGATCTCAACCTCCGCAAAGCTGATCATTCAGAGTGAGTCCCCTCAGATTCATGTTATTTAAAAAAAAAAATCTTTCTTCTCAATAAAACAACAAAACACTTGAATGTTCTTTGCAGCTATCGGAGTGCTGATCCCACTGAAGGACACAAATGCCATTGAGGGCACCAAAGCCGTTCTGGAGGCCAAGATCTCCGCTCAGGACATCAGCTCAGTCAAATGGTTCCACAACGACAAACTGCTGACACCCAGTAACCGAATCCAGATGGTGGCGAAAGGAGCCAAGCAGCGTCTGGTCATCAACAGGGTGTACGCTTCTGATGAAGGACACTACAAACTGGTGGTTGGCCGAGCTGATACCAGCTGCAAATTTACTGTTCAGAGTAAGTTACTCGAGAAAAGACCGAGGGGTTAAAATTGATCAAAAGTGGAAATAGGTTTAATTTACAACATAATTTCAGCCAAACTGGAATGTGAAGCTGCTACTGAAACTGAATGAAAGGCTCATCTGTTGGTCATTTAACAATTGATGTGAATATGAAAAGTTGCTGATAATTCATTGACTGTCTTGTTTCATCTTAACAGCTGTCCAGATTGTGACCCTGATGAAAAATAAGGAATGTTCCGAGTCTGAGAACGTCACCTTCGAGGTTGAGGTATCTCACCTGGGTATAGATGCCTTCTGGACCTTCAAGAGGCAGCCACTCAAAGCTGGCTCCAAGTACAAGATGGAATCCAAAAACAAGCGCCACACCCTGACTGTCATGAATGCCATGAAGGACGAGGAGGGCGAGTACATGTTTGCCGCCGGTGAGAAGATGTGCAGTGCCTCTCTCACTGTGACAGGTAGGTTTCAGATTTTTCAAAGGTTATTCATCAACACCAGAGCTGCTTTGTATTCCAATATCCTGTTGACTTAACCAAACATCAACTATCACAAGGTGGCGCTATCAAGAAGCCTCTACGTGATCTGGTGGTGGCTGACTCCCAGACTGCCGTACTGGAGTGTGAGGTCGCCAACCCATCTGCCGAGGGCAAGTGGCTGAAAGACGGTCAGCCCATCGACTTCAACGGGAGCGTTGTGAGCGAGGTGAATGGTACTGTCCGACGCCTCGTGATCATCATCACCAAAGCCACCGACATCGGAGAGTACACCTATCAGGTTGCCACCTCCAAGACCTCCGCCACCCTGAAAGTTGAGAGTAAGTCCAGCTTCATGAAGGAGAAGATCACAGCTCTTAGGCTGAGATCAACAAACATAGAAAGCTTTAAAACCAAGAATTAATCATGATGTCTTCACAGCTGTGAAGGTAAAGAAGACCCTAAAGAACCAGAACGTGGTCGAGACTCAAGACGCTGTTTTCATCCTGGAGCTCACCCACGAAGATGTGAGGGGAGCACAGTGGATCAAGAACGGTGTCGAGATCCAGCCCAGCAACAAATATGAGATCAGTATCGAAGGCACCATCCACACCCTGAAGATCAAGAACTGCACCACACACGATGAGTCTGTTTACTCCTTCAAACTGGGAAAACTGTCTGCAAATGCCAGACTGAACGTTGAATGTAAGAAACCACTGATTCATCACATTCTGAATGATTAATTACAAAGTTCTGGTGTTTAACTCACAAGTGAAGAAGTTCAGTTACACAATAAACTGTAAAATACTTTCCAACAGCGATAAAGATCCTGAAGAAGCCAAAGGATGTGACTTCACTGTTGGGTGCGAGTGCTGTATTCGAGGTCAGCATCTCCGAGGACGACATTCCAGTCAAATGGATGTTCAACAAAATGGAGCTGAGGCCGAACGAGCACTATAGGATGCTCTCTGAGAAGAAGACACACAAACTGATCGTCCAGGATGTCAACAACAGCAAAGAGGGAGAGTACACCGCTGTGGTTGGACACATGCAGTGCAGCGCACGACTCATCGTCGAGTGTAAGTATCATCACCGAGCCAACGTTAGCGTCTCTGAAGATGATAAGTTTATGAAAAATGATGAGGTTGACCTGTTCGTTGAGGTTTTTCAGTTAATGTACAGCTGGGATTGAGAATGTTGACACTGTAGGTGATTCAAAATGTTTAAAAGGGTGATTTTTTGAAAGGACTTTCAGATGACAATGGACGACCGAGATAATGACCTTAATGCTGGAAACATAAGATCTTTAAAAAATAAAGAACCATCTCACATTTATTTAGATTTCAGTTGAATCCAGGTTTAATTTTGTGTGACAACTTGGAACAGTTATTTTTTGAATTGTTATTAAATATTCTGACATTTTCTCTCAGCTCTGCGAGTCACCAAAACTATGAAGAGCGTGGAGGTGCCAGAGACTCAGGTGGCCACGTTCGAGTGTGAAGTTTCTCACTTCAACGTCCCGTCCACGTGGCTGAAGGACGGTGTGGAGATCGAGATGAGCGAGAAGTACAGGATCGTGGTTCAAGGAAAACTTCACCAGCTGAAGATCATGAACACCAGCAGGAACGACTCCGCAGAGTACACCTTCGTCTGCGGCAACGATCGAGTCTCCGCCACGCTCACCGTTAGCCGTAAGTTCAGGCGTTTAGTCTTCAGTCATTTGACCTGTGACCCTCAAATATCTGAATTAATTTCTTTATAAATCAAACAACTTTATGTAAATGACGATTTCAATTAATTACGAAACAAACTCACGCTTAATTTACCATTAATTCACCTTTGAAAACACAACAGTAACTTTAATTTCCCAGAGTTGTCTGTCTTTCCTCTGTTCTCCAATATTAATTATACATTTCCGTACTTTCCTTTCTAGGTTGCTTCATTTGTGTTGAAAAAGTTTAAAAACCTTGTTTGACATTAAAATTATTTTTTTAAATGAAAACACATTAATAACACTTAAGCTAGATTACCAATGGGTTTGTGGAATATTGCAAATTAATAAATCTGAATTTAAGGGCTGAGATAAATAAATGAAAAGTATGGAATCCTGAAGACTGGACCAAACACCTTGATGTGGATAGATAATCCAAATAAAGTGTTGGGGAACTTACTGTTACTTCTGTGGTTTTCCAGCGATTCTGATCACGACGATGCTGCAGAACGTGAACACTCAGGAGAAAGACTCCGTCACATTTGAAGTAAACATAAACTACGAGGATATTGCATACAAATGGATGAAGAACGGTGTGGAGATCCGGTCCACAGACAGATGCCAGGCTCGTTGTCGACAGCGCACGCACACTCTTAGCATCAGAAGCGTCCATTTTGGAGACAGTGCTGAATACACCTTCATGGCAGGTTCTGCAGTGACCACAGCCAAACTTGACGTCGAGGGTAAGAGATGTTTATTTCACTTTTAACTGTGATTTGTCTAATCCACCTCCTGAGGGAGAAATTGGAGCTTCAAAATAATCACCACAAGAAACTTAGACCTTCCCCTATGACATCTGGAACAACCATTAGAGGGTTCTGAACCACACCTGAACCACTTAAAGGACTTGTAACACCTCAAAGAACAGGACCGTGAGCACCTCATAGAGTCGAGTAGAACCCTTTTAACCTTGTGAAGAACCTACCTTGTCAGGACTTGATCAGGAGTTCGATATTGATGCTCACGTTTATGCAGGTTTCTAACGTCAGTTCTGGTGTTTTTTTTCCACTGCAGCTCGTGTGGTTGAGTTCACCAAACATCTGAAGGACATAAAGATCACAGAGAAGAAGAGGGCGACGTTTGAATGTGAACTTTCTGAACCAAACATCCAGGTGATGTGGATGAAAGATGGTCAGGAGCTGGAGATGTCTGACAGGTAGTTGCTAATATTCAGCAGGTAAAACCACCAACAAAACCTAAATCATGAAAATGAACCTTTTCATGTTTCTCTGTTTGTTGCAGATATAAAATGACCTCGGATAAGTTTCTGCACCGTCTGGTTTTGCCGTCAGTCCGCCTGTCTGACGCAGGAGAGTACACCGCTGTGGCCGGATCCAGTATGTCCAAGGGTCACCTGGCGGTTGAGGGACGGGATGTCAAAATCTCAGAGCCTGCAAGCAGAAACATCACTGTGAGTTCACATATGTATCTACATAGAGCACGATGCTTTTTCCTCTTGCAGTGTAAAAAGTCAAGTAGCTGGCTCATCCAATGTGACCGAACAATTTGTCCAAATAGAGACCCACAGGGAGCAGCTGTTATCCACACTCCAATGTTTTTCCTTTAACATTTTACGTTGACTTGATTTTTCAATTTGAAAATTATCGGGTGAGATTTCCCACATAAATTCCTTTTGAGAAAATTAACCATAACTACTAATTCCAAAAGATTTTGTTTAGTTTTCTGAATTCATGAGGCAGTTGTGCAACATTCTGAATTTTTTTTTTAAATCTGCTGAAATGAAAATTTTCTGGAGCAGATTTATTCAGATTAAGAATTCCAGGTGTTCACCTCCACCTGTGTTTTCAGGTGATTGAGAAACACAGAGCGACCTTTGAGTTCGATGTGAATGAGGATGATGTGGACGGTCGCTGGATGAGGAACGGTGTAGAGATCCAGTTTTCAGTGGAGGAGAGGTTCAGCTACGCCACCATCAGGAGGCTGCACCGCCTCACCATTTCTGAGACATACAGGAGCGATGCCGGCGAGTACACCTTCTTAGCCGGGAAAAACAAGAGCACCATGAACCTTCACGTCAAACGTAAGAACTCCGAGCATAAAAAAAATCAACCTGCTTGTACGTACCATACATAAATATGAGATTAAACTCAAGGGATAAAGACGTGACAGAGAGTGTGTGTGTGTGGTCCAATACGGACTAGCTAGCGTTAGCTTTACCAGCTGTTTTCTCACATTAAGTTGTGAGTTCAGCATCAAACAGTATAATTCAATGCTAATTTTATAAAAATGACCAGATGATGATGAAATGGAGGATTTTATCACCATATAAAAACTAATTCTCAGTGTCTGACACAATCTTTTGAGATCTCTGTAAATCTTTATATTCTTGATACTGATGATCATGTGGAGCCGATGAAACTTTTACCGAAGTTTAACTTGACAAGATGCTTCACATTTTAACATAGGAGACAAACTGATCTTCTGATATTCACCATCTAACATGACAGAGAATAAAACTACATCTTTATTATTTTGTATGAAGGCGACAAATGCAATAAGAAATGAAAGTTAACTGTATTTATTTTCATAATCAGACCACAGGGACAGTTTCCGGTACTTTGTATTATGACTTGTGGAAAACATCATTTTTCTGTCTTCAGTGCCGGAGCCTCCGGAGATCGTCCGCCACGTGAAGCCCCAGACCATGATGTCCGGTAGATCGGTTCGCTTCTCGGTGCAGGTGAGCGGCCTCCCTGCGCCTCAGGTTTCCTGGTACAAGGACTCTCAGGCTCTGTCAATCAGCGAAAACGTCAAGTTCCTCCACGACGGAGACGAGCACACGCTGCTGCTGCTGGAAGTTTTTCCCCAGGACGCCACGGCCTACAGCTGCGAGGCCAGGAATGACTACGGAGAGGCCACAAGCTCGGCTGTTCTCACTGTTGAAGGTAAATGATCAGAGCATTGAACTGCCGGAAGTTTTGTCCTCATCAGGATTGAGAATTAAAATTGTACGTGTATGTTGTCGTAGAGTTTTTTTACTCTGCTGATAACAAATTGAAAATTCATTCAACATTCGACCTGGACATTGAGAAAACAGAAAGAATTTGTTTTTACATCAGAGAGCGGAGCATCTTGAGTCTGTCAACTTGATCAATAACATGATTGATAAGCTGATCAGACTGACTGAATACTGATCGTCTTCTTCTCATTCAGTACCTGAGGTAGTGGAGACGGTGGCTCGGGTCTCTGCTCCGGTCCTCGTCGCCCCCCTGAGAGAAGTCCTGGTCACTGAGGGACACTCTGCCCAGTTCAAGTGCACTGTGTCTGGGGAAGGTAATGACAACAACTCCCCTTCTGGATCTTATTTTACTAAACTGCAGTGTAACCAAACATGTACAGACCACAGACTGTAGATAAAGAGGGCTCCCAGAAGTGAAACCAAAGTGTCTTGATCTCCCCCTGGTGGCTGGCTGCAGTATTGGTTTTAAAACCTTTTTTTAGTTAACCTCTAATTAGTTCATTTGATGATTTAAAAACATACTGAGATGTCATTATTGACAGCTAAGACTGACTCATGATTGGTCAAGAGCATGCATGGGCGGGACCTCGATACCATGGCTCCACTCCACGATCACTACTGAACAGACTGCAAATCATTTCATCACCACAAGATGGCAGCGTTCATATCTGAGATATTTGAAGAAGTCTGTGGTCTATGCATGTTATATATTCATGTTTTAATAGATTTTAGTACGTTTTGTTTATGATCATGTGTTCTGTTGAGTAAAGTGAATATAAAATGAGATCATGTTTTTGAGAGAACGAATGCTGTGTCCAGATCTGCAGATTTCATGGTTCTGTAACAACAGAGAGCTCAGACACTCAGACATCTTCAAGATGTCTCATTATGGCGACACCTGCCAGTTGGACATTTCCAGAGTTCTCCAAGACCACGAAGGAGAGTACTCATGTGTCGCCACAAACTCTGCAGGAATGGTCACATGTGCGGCATCTTTGAATATCGATGGTGAGTTTGTCAGGTGTTCATGTAAAGTTCAGGTGAAACCTTTACTGTCGGACCTTAACATGCTCCATGTGCTTCAGTCGAACTGAGACCAGCAGGGATGATGTGTAGTTCTTGAGACAAAGATCCTCTGCAATGTTAGAAACTATGTCTAAAGTTCCCTTACAGCACAATTGGCTGGTAGCATGCTAACAGATGTTTAGTTCTCAAGAACTAATCAATTCCAATGATTATCAACTGGATCAATCACATCATCCCGATCTGTAACTACAGATCTGCTTCTCCTTCCTCCAGGCCTGAAGCTAACGAAGCTAATGGAGAAAACGTCCACAGCATGTTTCATACTAAAATAATAAAAGCATCTATTGGACAAAAACACATTTATTCAGCAGGGGGGAGTGGTGAGGTTTCAAGCATGGGTCCTTAAAGCTGCATGCAGAGATCACCTCCTGCTGGTCACACAGAGTTCAGGGAAATAACCTAAAGGACTGAGATTAATATCAGCTTCATCTGTTTCTCCTAGCTCAGCACAAACTGTTAGCTCTGTCAAGCCTGAAGAAAGTTAGAAACTCTTTTTTTCTAACCGAGGATGTACAGTCATGTTACTGATCAGCACTGACACAGCGTAATAACATTATAACATTTACTTCCGGTGCTTAACAACTACGGTTTGTTAGCTCTGTTAACAAGGAGGCTAACAAGTGCTAGCTAATGAGCAATCAAATTGTATCTTAAAAGAACATTTAAGATGGACATCGGTGTGTCCAGTACAGAGACAGGTCCAGGATGTGTGAGCCTAATTTAGCACAAAACTGAAAAAAGAGGGAAAGTGTTAGCTGCTCCGTCAAAACAAGCAATTTGGGAAATTCACTTTTAATTTGTTTCAGCGACAAGAACAAAACATTCTGGGATTTCAGTGGAGCTGCCATGAGTTCTAGCAGCTTGTTGTAACTAATGTCCACTAACTGGTCGCTAACAAGATGACGCTAGTGTCCACTGAGACGCAGATTAATGACAGGAAACAGGAAACATGGTAATCGAGTCATTGTGCTCATTCATGAATTATTATAATCATCATCATATCTCTACACAGACCTTTGTGCAACCAGCGCTGCGGTGATGACGCAGCTCCTCAGACTCCCATATTTTTAATTAAACTTTCCGTCGGTGTTGTCATGCAAGACAAATCTGTTCAAATCAGTTTGTCGTTCTGCTCTGGTGACAGGGCAGGTTCAGCAGGTGACAATCTGATGTGTTGCATGAGGTCTTCTCTTCCTTCATGATTCTTAACAGTAGGAACGTCTTTATGTGATGTGGATCTTTGTTTCAGACGAATGCAGCATGCTCACAACAGAGCTGTGGAAATATAACTTTCCGAGTTTCCGCGCACTCGAGCCCTAGATTTAAAAAAAATTTCAATAGTAAATTTTGGCTCTAGTCAAACTTGCATGATTGACAGCGGAACCAGCCAGTGTCCTCTCCCTCACTGATCCTCAACGCTCCACCTGCAAACAAGGTGTGACACATGTAACCTGCAGGAGTCTCCAGAAACATGTGTTGACCTAATTTTTCTACTCTTTCTTACTGCCCAGATGAAAAAGCCTTAGCTAGTGTGAGGAGTGCTGGGGCTGATGCTAAGCTAAGTGAGAGGCTGGAGGCTCAGAGTTTCAGCTCTGTGTCCGTGGGACAAACAGCCCACAGTGTTGAGTTTACTCAGACGGTCTCTCAGAGTTCCTCCGTGTCTTGGAGGACGGTTGAGATTCAGATGGAGAGCATGGGCTCAGAGACGAGCTCTGAGAGCAGCTTTGATATCAAACCCTCAGCCAGCCCCAAACTGCTGATGGAGATGAGCGACGTACGGGTGAAAAATGGTGAGATGGCCGAATTCAGCTGCATGTTCGATGGGCAGCCCTTCACCGGGGTGGTATGGCATCATAACGGCCAGAGCCTGGTGGACCTAGAGCGGGTGAGGAGCTCTGAGAGCGGGGGCTCATTGTCCCTGGTCATCCACGGTGTTGGTGTGGCGGACCAGGGCATGTACCGCTGCACCGCCACCAACCAACATGGCCAGAACAGCTCCTCCGCCCGGCTCACTGTTGAAGGTGGTTTAATCTTTTTTTTCATTCAGTCTCTTTCCATCTAGTCCATCCCATCCCGCCACTGCTCTTCCTGCTGTGCCCCCTCCCCCTCATGATTTTTAATATTTCCTCTCAGCCTGTAACCTTCAGTGTAATGGAATAACAAGATTCGTAAACTTAAATTTCCTCTTCCTGCTGTGGCCAGCTTTGCCTTTGCTAACCTCATCCTCCATCCTACTAACCCCTTTAGTGTTTAGACTCATAGCTTTATAGGCTGACCCCTAATTACTCTCCCTAACTTTATTCTCACCCAGCTAAAGAAGCAAATCTCACAGCAGAAACCCCCATCCCTACAGATTCTGTACGCAAAGTGTCTCAGGCAGACAGGGAGACTCTTAGACATCAGCCTGAGCAAGACAAGAAGGAGGCGCTGGAGAAGCCGGGATCATTGCCTCCATCTTCCCAGAGACCGTACAGCTTCATGAGCAACCTGTATTTCCCTGATGTCTTGCCTCATGATGAGCGAAGTCAACGTCTCTCCAACTCCCCTGAATTCCTGGTCAAACTCCCCCCTGAGCTGCTGAGCAGAAACAGACACTGCAGCTCTTTGTTTTGTGTTATGAAAGGAGTTCCCACTCCGTTTTTCATTTGGCTTTACAACCGGTTGAATTTTGAGGATTCTGTGTCTTTCTCTCTGAAACATGACGACCCCCTGTGCTCTGTAAATGTTAACAATGTGAGATCCGGACACGGGGAATCTTACACTTGCAAAACTGTCAGCTCAGCTGGGGATGCTGAGAGCAGCACAGTGATGAAAGGTTGGCATCTGCATGCTTTGGTCTTTCTTTTCCGATCGGGCTCTGTTTGGCCCATCACTCATCCACACTGCTTCCCACCCACACAGCCAACAGAGGCACACGTCTTCATCCAGGCATCACTTCTTCACCAGGGTCTTAACCTCAGTGTTTAGAGGAGGTCGATGACCTTTGCTTTACCGACTAAACACCGACATAGATAAAGAGAGAGGGACACTCATATCACTCAGCATTTCTCCAGAAGCCAGAGGTGCTGCTCACTAAAGGCCGACAGAAAGCATGAGCATCAGTTAGAGGACAGCAGCCAAACAAATGGTGTTATGGATGCACGACCTGTCACTGACTCTTAACTGTCTTGCAGCATATGAGAGTTAATGTTCGGTTCAGTTTTTAATTTGCCGCTGTCTGTGTCTTACAGTGACCGCAGTGGAGAAGGAACCTGTGATTCAGGTCGTGGAGGAAATAAAAGGTAAATATCAGCAGGAATGTTTGTCCATTGTCTCACAGGTTTAATTAAGAATGTGTTTTCTTTAAAGTGTGCTCAGGTTGTGATGGTAAGAAATTTACGTTTTTCTTGTTTATTTGTTGGTATGAATGTTTTTTTTATTTTAACTGCATATTCTTTACACAAAAGCTAATTACCTCATGTGTTTTCAGTGTCTGACTTAATGTGATTATTCCACTCAGCTTTCTCTAGCTCCACCGTCACAGTGGAAGAGGAAACACAGCAGTCGTTCTTCACCGGCCTCACAGTTCCAGACAAAACCAGAACACTTGAACTCAAACCAGAGTCTAAATGTTTCCTGAGCTCTTTGGAGAAGAAAAAAGAAAAGCCGGTGTTCATCAGCAAACTTTCTCCAACAGTTGTGACTGTCGGAGAAACAGCTGTGTTTTCTGTCAAAGTATCAGGTTTCCCAAAACCCACAATCCAGTGGTTCCACAACGGGCAGACGATAACCAGTTCATCTGTGTACACGTTCATTCGGGAGCAAGATGAGTACAGTTTGGTCATTCATGAAGTTCAGAGGGAGTTTGAGGGAGAGTACTCATGTACAGTCAGCAACAGATTTGGTCAGTCCACTTGCACTTCTTATCTGCATGTTCAGCTGATGAAACAGGAACGAGTGGAAAAAGCTGCTGGAACAACTAGGAAACCCCCAAAGTTCATACAAACAATAGAGTGTGGTGAGTTGTGTGAGGGAGGTGAGGTCTTCTTCAAGTACGCTGTGACCGGAGATCCACTCCCTGAGGTTCAGTGGCTCAAAGGCAGTTTCCACATTCAGCCCAGTGGGTTCTGTATCATTGTGAACAATCCAGATGGGTCAGGTTTTATTAATATTAAGAGTGTCAAACAAGAACACAGTGGCATCTACACCTGTAAGGCCTCCAACAAATATGGGGAGGAGTCTTGTTCTGCCAAGCTGCTGGTGTTCAGGGAGAAGGTTCAGGACGAACCGTCGATAGTGATGAAAACTAAAGGTCTGAAAATATCCATGACTGAACAAACCACAGGATCCAGGTTACAGCAGGAAAGAAGCCGGTCGGATCAGATGATTTACACAATCAGTACTGACGACCGGCAGATTATTCCAAGCGAAGAGGTGGGAACGCTCAGAGAGCTTGACATCTCTGCTGCTACTCTTCATCGAGAGCAGCTCCCCCAGCAGGCAGCAGTGTTGCAGTCTCATGAAGTACAGGAGAGGGTTTGTTTGGCTCCTACTCGTCCTCCTCAGGTCTCAGCTGTTCCTATGAGACAGCTTCATATGGCCACGTTCTTGTCTTCAGTGCACGAGAAACAAAAGATCACTGAGCAGCACTCGGAGAGGATTCTTAGCCCTGAGCTACTTGAACTTGAGTTAGCCAAAGAGCAGCCATCAAAACTCATGTCGGCTACATCTGAAGAGTTTCTCCCGCTCACCACAGTGAGAGCTGAGGTCTTGATGGACCAGGCTCCAGAACATATGAAGACCTCCACTGAGCCTAGGCAGTGTGTTAGTGGTCCCCAAATCCAGTCCACTCTACCCATCCTCAATGAAAGGTCAGGTGTGGTGCAAAGACCAGAGGAAGAGAGGAGCTTTAGAATCACAGAGGGGGTAAAAGTTTTATACTCGGCTCAGTCCACAGGGCAACTGCCAATCACAGAGAGGCACTCTGAGCCTTTACCAGCTTTAGGCTCAGCTACCAAACCTGTCGCTGAGAAAGAGCAGTATAGACCAGTTGTCGCTCCAGTGAGTGAAACTACAGTGACTTTATCTAAAGAGCAGGAAATAAACATTTACAGACCCGAGCAAAAGAGCATAATTGCACGTGAAGACGTAGTGTATAAGTCAGCTATAGCTGCTGAAGAGAAATACAAACTCCAGGCTGAACAGGTAGGACATGTGCCAGGTATAGATTCATCTGTGTGTGTGCAGCTTGAGCGAGAGGGCGAGAGACTCCTGAACCTGCAGCTTATCAGTGACCAGAATGTTTTACAGTCTGAGGGCAGGTTCAGCAGCAAGAAGCCTGTTTCAGAGCAGGCAGCGACAAGGACAAGTCCAACTCTGGTGCATTCAGTGACTCAAGAAGAGCAGAGGACTGTTGTTTGTGAGACAACCTCTGACTTTAAAACAAAGATGGACGCCACATCAATTCAGCCAAAGAAAGAGTTACCACAAACAAAATACCTTCAGTCAGTTAATTCTTTATCAGTCTTACCAAAAGAAGGCATACTTTCTATCACTAAACCTGACCAACAGGTGGCGATACCTAAACAAGAAAAGAGTAGAAGGCATGCAGCTACCTCAGAAGAAAGACGAATGATCACAGCAGCGTATCACAAAGATCTTGATTTGAAAGTGAGCAGGGTGCAGTCACAGCAGCGCACAGAGCCCAGACCTCCCAACATCCTCACTGTCTCCTCTCAGCCCATGCAGCTCCCAAAGGAGATGCCTTTCTCTGCTGACATGAAACAGCAGAGGGCGCTAGTCCAGAGAGAGGATTACTGGAAAATCATACAGTCTTTGATTGTCACAGACACTCAGACTCTGGAGGAAGGTCACACCATTAGTCTTAAAACTGATGAGAAATTCAGCCTTGAGATGAAAGTTGAGCCCAAAATCCCCAAAAAGCCTGTTTTCATAGAGGAGAAGGGCATTGCCACTGAGAGCTGTACTGTTTTAGAAGCTGCAGAGCAGGACTTTGCAGTCAAGATCCAAGAGGGACAGTCAGTCCGGCAGTCAGTGTTGCTGGAAGAAAAGCAGGTGATTGTTGGAGAGCAGTCAACTGAGATCCATAAATCTAAAGGTTCAGCTGTCAGCGTGATGATGCAGCCTGAAGGACTCCTGTTTGTCCACGAGTCTCAGGACGCTCTGACTCTACCTAAAGAGCTCAACTTTGTTATTCAGATCCCAAAATCATCTAATGTGAATATGCGCCGTCAGCTCAGAGACGCTCTGCAGTCTGCTGTGGCCACTGACCAGCCACTGTTACTGGCTGATGTTCTTGGTAGGTTAGAGGCTGTGGAGATGCAGGAGGTGAAGGTTCAACGAGAACCAAAACGAGCCATGCACACTTATCTGATCACAACCACAGGTGCTCCCATGGAGATCACTCTGTCATTTGTGGGTGAATACCCTCAGGTAGCTGACCTCAGGTCTGAACTCCAGGTTGCTCTGCATGCGATTGTTTTCCAGGAGCAACAAAGTCTTACATCAGAGCAGCCAGGTACCATGCAGATCGAAAAGCCTCATAAAGTGCTGGTTAGCTCAGCAGCATCTGAAGAGGTGCTGTCCTCTGTGGTGGACACTGTGATGGTGGAAGAGAGTGCAGCTAGGCTTCCTCCTGCTGTGTCTCAGTCTGCAGCCGTTAGAACTGAAGCCAGGGCATTTTTCCAAAGTGCAACAGTTCAGACTCCATCAGAGATCCAGGAGTCTAAACAGGTGAGCAGGAAGACACAGAAGTCAGAGAGGGATGTCACTGCTGACGAGACCACCACTGTCTCTGTGGCCCAACATCGACTGGACACTTTTGTCCACAGAAAGACCAGAGAGGAGTATCTCTCAGAGGTGATCATGATCAGTGAGTCCTCGGACAGTCTGATAGATCATCCTGTTGTCGTTAAGTCTCTAGAAGACATTCATGCTGAGGAAAATGGCAAGGCTGTTTTTACTGCAACCATAAAGTATGTCACCCACGTAAACTGGTTTTTCAATGGGCAACTTTTAAAATCTGGCAAAGAGTTCGAGTGTTCCAAAGACCACAACACATACACACTAGTTATCAACAAGGTTGTGAAGGAGAGGCATCAAGGAGAATATGTCTGTGAGGCCGAGAATGAAGTCGGCAGGACGACGACGTCTTCAAGACTCACTGTGGCCTCACAAGGTTTGATGATGGACGATTCTTTATCATCATCAACTAACTCAGCACATTCTGTTGTCCGCAAACCTTAGAACTCCAATTTGATCAGAACCAGAAGTTGTATTCACGAGTTGAATCTACACAGTTAAATTCAAAATAAAATATGGAGGTTTGAGGTTTTTCAGCAGACAACAGGAATATTCCCTCTTTTCCTCACAGCTCATCATTCCTCCATAAACATATCACATTCATATCCTGTTTCTTTCACAGGAAGCACCTTAAACTCCATTTCTCTAAACATCCTTCATTCCTGCTCCTTTCCTGTTTGCATGTTTTCTCTTCTTTCTTTACCACAGAATCCCAGTTCATGTCTTCATCCTAAACCTAAAACCATTTTCTTCCTCCACAGTCACTACAGGATCACTTTGTGTCACCAGGTTCACCTCATCACCACCTTCTGTAGAAACGTTCCTCTCTGTTTCATCTTGTCTTTATTTAATCTGTCTTTTCTTTCTTTTCTTTCAAACACAGTGAAACCTGTGTTCAGACACAGAATCGTCCCTGTGGAGATCAACATTGGCAACACTGCCAAGTTTGAATGTGAAACTGAAGATGCTCCGAATGTGAGCTTCAAGTGGTTCAAGGATGGAAACCCCATCAAAGAGGGGGATAAGTACAGGATCATCAGTCGGTTCAGCATGTCCTCGCTGGAGCTTCTGACACCAACCAAGGACGACAGCGGTGAATACACCTGCAAGGCCTCCAACCAGCACGGCAGTGACGAGTGCTCTGCCTCTCTCGGTGTGACAGGTAAGAGCGACACACCTTCTCCTTCGCTGGTTGATTGGAGCTGTTATCAATGATCTCAGCTGGTTTGTGCGTCTAGTGATACGTCTGATGTTTAACTGAAAATCTTTCCTGCTCTGCTGCTTTGTTTTGTCTCATTAGCAGGTTTTCTTTAAAGTTAATAAACAGGGTTTGAAAATGACCACTAATGTTTCTTCTTTTCCTTAATTCTTATAGAACAATGTCCTCCTGCCTTTATAACTAAGCTTGAGCCTCAGACTGTGTATGTTGGTAAGAGGGCAGTGATACAGTGTGTTGTATCAGGATCTGCTCCTCTCAATGTCGTCTGGCTCAAAGACCAGCAGGTCTTACCTGAAGTGCTGACACACTTCCACACCTCTTGTGAAAAGAACAAACACACTCTTGAGATAACTGTCCTGGAGGCAGCCGACAGGGGGCGCTATGTTTGCAAAGTGTCCAATAATGTTGGGACAGCAGAGAGTGCCATGGAGCTGCATGTCATTGATAAACCCACCTTTGTGAAGCCCCTGGTTCCTGTTGCTGTCGTGGTCGGCACTCCTCTGCACCTGGAGTGTCAGGTGGACGAGGACACTGGAATAAGTGTCACATGGACCAGAGATGGTAGAAAAGTCCATCAGTCTCCAGACTGTAAACTGTCTTTTGAGGATAAGACTGTCACACTTGATATCCTAAAGACCACACTGAAGGATTGTGGACAGTTTATGTGCACAGTGACAAATGAAGCTGGGAGTGCGATTTGCTCCACTGTGGTGAAGGTACAAGGTAAGAGCTGTCTAGTTAATTTTCATGGATTTTGCACAATTTGGAACTCTTGCAAATCTGCAGCAATGAAAATTAACATTTTATTCATGGGTGTCTGATTTATGTCTTAAATCTTAAACCTCTTCTTGACGATGCTGGTGTAAAGTTTGTCTTTGATTTCATGGTGACTCTTTCTAACCACACACCTCTGCAGAGCCGCCTGTCTTTGTTAAGAGGCTGGAGGCCTCCACGGTGTGGAAGCAGGGCGGCACTGCTCGGCTGCAGTGCTCTGTCAAAGGATCGCCTGAACTTCACACCAGCTGGTTCTTTAATAACAGCGAGCTGTGTGCTGGCAGCAGACATGGTGTCAGTCTAAAAGATGGCGTGGCCACTTTTGAAATTAAGGACGTCATGTTGACTGACAGTGGAAACTACACCTGTGAGGTTCTCAATGAGTCCGGATGTGAAAGTTGCAGCACTAAAGTGACGGTGAAAGGTGTGTAGACTCGTGCAGGTTCACCCTCAGTCAGAATAAGAACACGTCTAAATGAAGTCTGTTTTTCTGTAGAGCCGCCATCGTTCAAACACGAGCTGCTGTGTGTAGAGGCAGTCAGAGGATCTGTGGCTGTGTTGGAGTGTGAAATGTCAGGCTCTGCACCGTTTGAGGTGTCGTGGAGAAAGAATAAGAAATGTCTGTCATCAGATAAGAAGTACAGGATAGTATCTCAGGGATTCCTGAGCTCTTTGGAGATCCACTCGTTTGAAAGCGCAGACACTGGTGAATATGAATGTGTTGTCTCCAATGAGGTTGGGACAGTGAGCTCAAAGTCCACAACTAAACAGAGAGGTTAGTGATAAAATAAAATACACATTTAGTTTTAGTCATAGTTTTTTATCTATTTCTCATGTGAGTATGACTCATCCTGTTATTTCAGAGCCACCTATGTTTTCAAAGAGGGTTGAGAGCGCCACAGCAGTTTTGGGAAATACAGTGAAACTACAGGGAACCATTAAGGGCTCTGCTCCCATCACTGTTAAATGGATGAAAGACTCTGAGCTGCTAAGAGACGATGACCCAAATGTCCAGATGAAGTTCGAACATAACGTCGTTAGCATCGCCTTCTCCTGTGTCGAGATAAAACATGGTGGCAAGTACATTTGCCTCGCTGAGAATGAGGCAGGGCAGCAGAAATGTGAAGCAGTCTTAACAGTTCAAGGTTAGAACACGTTCATATATGTCAGAAATATTTCACAGGCAGATGTTTGCAGAATCTAAAGATCATATTGTATTTTAGAACCTGCCAGCATCATAGAGAAGGCAGCGTCCATCAGTGTGACCGCAGGAGATTCAGCCACACTCAGTTGCACCATCTCTGGAAGCCCAGAGCTCAAAGTGAAGTGGTTTAAAGACGGGAAGGAGATGATCAGTGGCCGTAAATATAAGATGACTCTGAAGGAGAACACAGCCATCTTAAAGATCCTCTCCGCTGATAAAGGAGACACTTCAGAGTACAAGATGGAGCTGTCCAATAAAGTGGGAAAAGACCAGTGCAGCTGCCTGGTCACTGTTATAGGTCAGTTTGAGCCAAACATACATCGTTAATAACAAGCAAACGATTTGGGCTCTGATCATGTTTGACATATTTTCCTACACAGATCGAGCCGTTCCACCGTCCTTCACCAAAAGTCTAAAGAAAGTCGACGGAAGTGTTGGTAGTAACGTTTCGTTGGAGTGCAGACTTTCTGGATCTCAGCCAATGGTTGTTTCTTGGTTTAAAGACGATAAAGAAATCCACAGTGATGACAAATATAAGGTTGATTTGAGTGAGAGCTTGGTGTCTGTGACAATCACTGACCTGTATCAGAGCGATGGTGGAGTTTACACCTGCAGAGCCTCCAATGCTGCCGGGCAGGAAGAAACCAGCGGCACTTTGTGCATCAGAGGTCAGAGCAGTTACCTGCCTTTATCTTAAACCTGAGAGTGAGTCACACCTTAGACATGATCAGTTACTTATTCACTGTTTTTCCCCTAAAACCTCCAGAACCTCCGGCCTTTACAGTGAAACCTGAATCTCAGAATGCTTCACCTGGATCGAACATTGTCATTAAAGCAGTGTTTACAGGAACAGCTCCTCTGGTGGTGAAGTGGTTCAGAGAGGAGAAAGAGATTTTCACTGGAGGAAAATGTTTCATAAAGAAAGATGCTTCTTCAAGCTCATTGGAGCTTCACTCAGTGAAACCCAGTGATTCTGCTAAATACACATGTCAAGTATCCAACGTCGCTGGAAAGGTGGACTGCACCGCGGTGCTGTTTGTGAAAGGTGCAGTTCCTTTATCTCTTTTTAAAGGTTATCAGTTAATTATTTTGTTACATGTCCTCATATTTTTACTGTGATTGTTGCTGTTAATTTACAGAAGCACCAACATTTACAATGAAGCCAGAGCCATCACAGCTGCTCAGAACTGGACAGCCTCTCAGGCTGTCCTGTAAAGTTCAGGGCAGTCCTGTGATTGTCATCACATGGTTTAAAAACGGCTCAGAGATGGTTTCAGACCACAGACACACCATGACCTTTGACAGCTCCATAGCGACTCTGGAGTTAGAGAGCTGTTGTGTAGAGGACAGTGGAGATTATGTGTGTGTGGCATCCAGCGATTCCGGTTCAGACCAGTGCAGCAGCTCAGTGACAGTGAAAGGTTGGTACAGTCTTCACTCGTCTTCTTCGTACAGACACATTTTAGACTATTGATGTGAAGCTGGTCCACATTATTCTTTGACATGTTCCGTTCCCACAGAGGCGGGAAACTGTGACACTGACGTCACATTCCAGTGTTTCATCCGACTCGATTGTGACTCTGTTAGTCCTACAGACTGTAAACAAAGATAGACAACTGTCTCCACTTTGTCCTATCCAGAAACAAATCTAAAACGAAACTGTCATCTTGTATTGTAGTGATCGGGGAGTGGAGCCATGAGTGTAATTTAAACCAAACTGATCAGAACCACAAAGACTTGAACATCAGTGTGATGAGAACTACCTATAAATGACAGACATCATGTCTGACAAACTTTTTTAGTTTGGCCCATGTCCCATCTGCTAACATGGAGGGGGAGGGTTTATGACCTATACTGCATGTCTCCCTTCTTAATTTACAGTCTGATCAGGACAGAGTCTCATACAAAGAAGTTTAAAATCAATGATGCACCTTCATTGGTCCAATGACTCCGATTCTTTTCTGATGTGGACGTTCTGAACAGTTTAATAAATCCTGTGGACCAGAACCTGTTTCTCTGAATAAAACATCTATGATCTGTTTTCTTATAGAACCTCCAGTGTTTATGAGGCCGTTTGAATCGGCTGAGCTTGTGAAGGGATCTGATATCGTCCTGGAAGGAACCATTTCAGGTTCCGCTCCATTTGAAATCAGTTGTTTCCTCAATGATGCGTTGATCCGAAACGACAAAAGACACAAAGTCAGCATTGAAAATGACATAGTCTCTGTTGTCATCTCAAACTGTGTGAGTGGAGATGCTGGAACATATTGTTGCACAGTTACCAATGATGTTGGGGAGACATCGTGTTCTTGCCAGATTTCTCTGAAAGGTTTGTTAAAGTCATCCCAGCTTTATCTTCCTGTCCAGGTTCTTCATTAAACATGTTTGGATGCTAATGTTGGTCATTTGTTTTTAGGCAAACATATGATAATAATGTTTTTTGTCAAATAAAACTTAAATCCAGGCACCATGACCTTTTCACCACGTTTCAGTCATCTTAACCAGTTGCACTTTATCATTAACTGTTAGAAATATAGCTGCTGCACGTGATATTGCTGTCGTCTGACCTGTGGTCTTCTCTCACTAGAACCACCATCATTTGTTCAAAGACTGGACAACATGTCCTGCATGGTGGGCTCTGACATTACTCTGAGGTGCATGTTGTCTGGATCACTGCCCATGTCTTTCTCCTGGATCAAGGACGATCATGAGCTCACACAAGACGAGCATGTTCACATGTCCTTTGAAACAAAAAGTGCCATGTTGAATTTGAAAAATGCTCAGTTGTCACATGGAGGGAAATATGTGTGTGAGGCCCAGAACAAAGCCGGGACTCAGAGATGTGCTGCTGTGCTCATAGTCACAGGTTTGTGGGACGTTTCTGTTCAACTGCCATTACTTTCATGTCTCGCTTGATGCTTTTGTCTGTCACACCTGTGCGTGTTCTTTATCTCAGACCCAGCAAGTATTTCAGAACAGGCAAAGTCCATCAGTGTAACACAGGGTGACCCAGCCAGGCTCGAATGCAGATTCTCAGGCACCAAACCGCTCAAATGCAGATGGAGGAAGGCGGGAAAAGAGCTGACGTCATGTCGGAGATACAGAGTTCAGAGCACAGACTGCAGCTCTGTGCTCAACATTATAAAAACACAAACAGATGACAGTGGTGAATACACCTGTGAGGTTTCTAATGTTGCTGGGTTCAGTTCTTGTCAAGCATCAGTATCTGTCTTAGGTCAGTTTATCCCAAGGTTTCATGTCTTCATCTTTTTTGTTATTTTTCTACAAACTAACCCTGTTTTGCACTTTGTATGTAACAGATCAGATTATAAAACCGTCTTTCACAAGGAAACTGAAGCAGACAGAAGGAATCAAAGGATCATTTGCTCATCTGGATTGTCTTGTGTCTGGCTCCCTGCCTATAACCATACAGTGGTACAAAGACAAGGATGAGATCCAGACTGATGACAAACACAAATGCACGTTCTTTGAGAATGTTGCTTTTCTGGAAATCTCTAATCTTGACAGTAACGACAGCTGCAGTTTCACCTGCATGGCTACAAACTCAGCGGGATCTGTCTGCTGCTCTGGCTCATTGTTTGTTAAAGGTTAGAATTCATTCTGCAACCTCAGCTCTTTCTTTACCTCTTTCACTGTGTTATAATAGATGTGTTGGGTTTTATCCCTCAACAGAACCTCCATGTATTCTTGAAAAGCCCGAGTCCATGAATGTGTTGCCGGGCTCAAAGGTCCAGTTTAAGGTTCTGGTCTCTGGCACGGCGCCACTGACCATCAAATGGTTCAAAAACAAGAAAGAGATTTTGTCCAGTGCCGGCTGCTCCGTGACCAAAGACAACACCTGCAGCTCACTGGAGCTTTTCTTTGCTGAAAGCTCAGATTCTGGAGAATATGTGTGTGAGATACAGAACGATGTCGGCTCGACCTCATGTCAGACAACGCTCTTTGTCAAAGGTTAATATTCTCTACTGGTCACTTTTCTTTGCAGCGATCACCACTGTGTATAACTGTATTCTATGTTTTTTCAGAGGCTCCCTGTTTTACTGACAGACCTGAAGGTGTTTCAATAGTCAGAGTAGGAGACAGTGCGATGTTTGAGTGCAAGGTCGCAGGTTCTCCAGAGATCTCTGTGCACTGGTTCAGAGATGGAACCGAGATTCAGCAGAGCATCAAACACAAGATGTCTTTCTCAGACTCTGTAGTCACTTTACAGATTCATGAAGTTAGTGAAAACGACAGTGGGAAATATTTCTGCGAGGCTCGAAATGAAGCAGGCACACAGAGCTGCTGTGTGGAGCTAGAAGTGAAAGGTTGGTCTTCATTTACACGTCTACATCTCATCAGCATTTCATCTAGATGATAATAGATATAACATCACAGAAGGAAATCAGAGCTTGTTCTAGTTTGATTTGCTTTGTTATTTCAGAGCCTCCATCATTCGTTGATGAGCTAACGTCTCTTGAAGTCATTAAAGGTTCCACAGCAGTGTTCAATTGCAAAGTGGCAGGAAGTTCGCCATTAAAATTCTCGTGGTTCAAAGATAGAAAGCTGATCAAATCCAGCCACAAGTGTGTCACTGTTGAAAACCAGGGCACCTTGAGAATCCAGGACTGTACTGTGGAAGATGTTGGTTCTTATCAGTGCATAGCAGCCAATGAGGTTGGAAGTTGCACTGGTTTTGCAGCCTTGTCTCTGAAAGGTTTGTTTTACAGATGATAGAACATCACGCTGATAAACAACAGTCATGTTCACTGTCTGGTATTAAATTGTCTCCTGTTTGTATCAGTTCCTCCAATGTTTGTAAAGAAGATAGAAAATGTCTCCAGTGTTCTGGGAGATGCTGTCGTATTTTGCTGTGTCGTGGATGGTTCTTGGCCTCTTTCTGTACAATGGAAAAAAGACGAGAACTGGATCCTAGAAGATTCAAAGTTCGAGAGAAAGTTTGACTCCAAAGAGGCAACGCTCATGATTCCTGCCTGTGACGCTGCTCATGGCGGAACATATACATGTCAGGTCACAAACGAAGCCGGTCAAGACAAATGCTTTGCCACTCTTGTAGTGAGAGGTACCTCTTTTTCATGCACAGTTCTTATGACACAACACAAAGCTGGTTAAAAAAATGCTCATCTCTTTTTCTTGGTTTTGTAGAACCACCTACAATCCAAGAGATGCCTGGGGTAGTCAAAGTGACATGTGGAGATCCCGTTAGTCTTGAATGCTGGGTAGCTGGAACTCCTCCAATCAGTGTTAGGTGGACCAAAGATGGAAAAGAGTTCCAGTCAAGCAGAAAACATCATCTCTGCTTCGAGAACAACCAGAGTCGTTTCAAAATTCAGTCGTCTCAGCTGGACGACAGCGGACAATACCTGTTTGAAGCTACAAACTCTGTTGGAACTTGCAGCTGTAAAATCATGATGGTTGTTTTAGGTTTGTGAAATCATCTCCAACTCTTATGGAATATGTCGTAGAATTATATGTTTCCTCTTAGATTCTAATTATGTTTTAATATGGTTTAAACAGAAGAGGTCATTCCTCCGACGTTTGTTAGGAAATTAACAAACATTCAAGCAATTATGGGCTCGGTGGTTAGGATGGAAAGCAAAGTGTCTGGTTCTCTCCCACTGTCAGTCGAATGGAGCAAAGGGAAACAAAGAATCAGCAACAGCTCCAAATATAAACTTCTGAATGCTGAAAATACCGTTTCACTGGAGTTAACTCTGACGGAGAGCACTGACACAGGAGAGTATTCCTGTAAAGTTACCAACCAAGCAGGCAGCTGTGTGTGCAGTGGAGTTCTTACAGCTAAAGGTTAGCATTTGAATGTCAACTTCAATACATTCTAAACTCAAAGGCTGTTAGTTCTGTACTGTAATATTTTTCTTATGGGTTTTAGTGCCACCAAGATTTGTTGCTGAACCTGAGTTTCATGCAGTTGTTCCAAAGTCTACTGCACTCTTCCGAAGTATTTTTGACGGAACACCTCCATTTACAATCAAATGGTTCAAGGATGACATCGAACTCATCACTGGGCCGTCATGTACAATTAGACTGGAGAAATATTCTTCCTCAGTAGAGCTGTACTCCGTTGGAACTCTGCAATGTGGGATTTATTCCTGTCAAGTTAGCAATGAAGCCGGCTCCGTGAAAAGTGCAGCAGAGTTGTTGGTGAAAGGTCGGACTTGGTCATTTTTGTCCACCATCACCATTCAATTAACTCCATCTTTTTGTTTCCCATTTTCACAGCTTTTCTTTCTTCATCTTCATCTCCTCCACCTGACCACATGACGATTTCTTTTCTTTTTAGGAATATCTCTGTTGTCACCCGTCCACATCCTCCATACGTCACATTGATGCTCAACTGTTATTTTATGCCGACGATGGTAACCTGATCTTTTCTTGATTTTGCAGAACCTCCTCAGTTTGTCCTTAAACTGCCTCCCACTACCTTTGTGAAGCAGTGCGAGGGACACCGTTTTGAATGCAAGGCCACCAGCTCACGCTCCCTGAACATGAGTTGGTATAAAAATGACCAAAAGATAACCGATGGAGGCAACTATAAAATAATGTTTGTTGACTCGGCTGCGTACCTCCAACTGCACACCACAAGGTTTGAGGATAACGGAGTCTACACCTGTGAGGCTCACAATGATGCTGGCAGTGCAAGCTGCAGCAGTGTCCTCACAGTTCAAGGTCAGCTATCAACTAGATTCAGGGGTTACACGTTTTGTGGATTTTGTTTCCCCTAAACCTGTGTAGCATGCAAAGGAAAGAATGACTATTCCCTGTGATGCAGATTTTGATATTACATCTGGAGTGGAGTGTCTCTGGAGAACCCTGTCTAAAGTCTTCCGCATGGAATCCAACAGCACTTTTTGTTTCAGTCAAAAAGGATTTCTGTCCTCCAGTGTGTCGGATAGCATGAGTCTGAGTGCTCCCTCTTTTTTAGGACATGTTTTCCTTTCAGTTTTTAAAACGCGATTCGTGTTTTTTTCTCTGATCTCACTGTGAAATGACCGACCCTCCTCTCATAGCATGAACATAAAGTGAGTCTTTCCATTTCCTCACTAATGATCATTAGGCTTTGTTCATTCAATGTCTGGATGGATCCCCAAGCATGGACTGAACTTCAGCATGACCCTCGATAAGGATTTCATTTCCACTGGAACTGTCCAACCGATTTGCTTGCAGTGAAGACTTGGTTGTCCATGAATGTTACTTCAGTTAATATATCTCAATGTATTTTCCAGAGTCCCCATCCTTTATCCAAACTCCAAACCCAGTGGAGGGCATTAAAGGGAAAGAGGCCAGCCTACATTGTGAGATGTATGGCACTCCCCCTTTCCAGGTTAGCTGGTACAAAAACAAAAGACCGCTAAAGGAGAGTAGGAAGTATAAGATGGTCAGTGAAGGCAGCTCTGCCACGCTTCACATTATAAAACTCGACCAAGACGATGCTGATCTTTATGAGTGCAGGGTGTCCAACAATGTAGGAAGTGAATTCTGCCGCACGACCATTACTCTTAAAGGTTAGTACAGTACCGGTGCCCATTTCCTCAAAGCTTAGTTTTGATGTAATCATGTCTCCTCACTTTTGACCTTTCTGTCACTATTCAGAACAACCGGCGTTTGTCACAAAGCTGGTTGACCAATCAGTGAGGGTCGGAGAGCAACTGACTCTCACAGCTACAGTAAAAGGCTCTGAGCCTCTGACTGTGTCCTGGGTTCAAGATAAAGATCACGTTCTCAGAGACGGTGACAACAGGAAGATCATGTTTGAGAACAATGTGGCCACGCTTGTTGTTCCCAAGTCTGACTCGACCACGGCTGGTAAATACACCTGCCACCTGAGGAATGACTCTGGAGCGGTGGAGTCTGTCTCCCAAGTGGCTGTTTTAGGTTTGTGGAGTTCCAGACCTTATTTGGTTGCCACTCAAGACATTGTGAGGATTCGTATGGCTTAATATCTTCTTCCTTAAATTTTTAGAACCTGCTGCTATTGTGGATAGTCCAGAGTCCTTCAACGTGAAGTCAGGGGAAAATGCAGCTCTTGAGGTCAGAGTATCTGGCTCTGCAGAGCTGAAACTTAAGTGGTTCAAGGATGACAAAGACCTTTCTGCTGGTGCCAAGTATCAGATGACCTTCACAAAGAAGGTTGCCACCCTAAAGATTCGGTCTACTGACAAAGCAGATGCTGGAGAATACAAATTAGAGGTCACAAACCACATTGGTTCAGCCTCTTGCAAAACAAAACTCTCTGTCTCAGGTTGGTGGCCACTGTAGATTTTTAATGCTTCCTATTTTCTCATGGAATAATGATAATAATCGTTTTAATTAACATTCAGCTCAGAAATGTTTTATAACATGTTACATGTTGTGTTTTTGACAACAGATAAGTTGATTCCTCCAAGTTTTATAAGGAAGCTGAGAGACACCCACCTTGTTGTGGGTAGGCCTGGTGAGATGGAGTGTAAAGTTACTGGTTCTTCACCTTTAACAACTTCCTGGTTCCACAATGGCCAGGAGGTCAAGAGTGGTCCAAACTATGACATTAGCTGCATTGATAATAGCTGCAAACTGATAGTTCCGACTATCAGGATGTCAGATTCCGGCAAATACACCTGCAAAGCCGTAAACGATGCAGGAACCAGTGAGACAAGCGCTTCAATGAGGGTGACAGGTCAGTCGCAGCAAAATGTTTCTAGGATGTTTTTTTGTCTAACATGGGATCAAACAGAAACGTAACGATTATCCTACAATACATCTTTTTTATTTGAACCCAGAACCTCCATCTTTTGTGGAAACACCCGAGATGAAGGACATGTTGGCTGGCAAAAATGTGTCTTTGTCGGCTAAGGTGAGAGGCAGTGCCCCGCTGACCGTGAAATGGTTCAGAGGAGCCAAGGAAATTCAGCACGGAAGAGGCTGTGAGATTTCCCTCAAGAATGATGTCGCCACTTTGGTTTTTCACAAAGTAGAAAAGTCCCACACTGGAGAATACACCTGCCAGATCATAAACGATGCTGGGAAGGAAAGCTGCCCAGTTTACCTGTTTGTAAAAGGTTTGTTAGCCGGATAGTTTATCTTTTTTAACCATCTGTTAACATCTAAAGATGAATTTTCTGTAACTGATCATCATTACCTCTCTCAGAACCAGCCCACTTTGTGAAGAAGCTGAGGGACATCTCCTCTGAAAAGGGCAAGCCTCTGAGGCTTGAGGTCACATTTGCTGGAACCCCGAGGATCAATCTGTCCTGGAAGAAGGACGGTAAACTCATCTGGGCCTCGTATCAGTACAATTTAATCACCACAGACACCTCCTGCATCCTAGAGGTTCTGAACTCTGACAGGATGGAGGCAGCTGGTAGATATTCTTGCGAAATAGACAACGGAGTTGGAAGTGAAACATGCGAAGCCCAAGTGTCAATTCTAGGTAAAATCATTAGCATGCATTATTAAGTTCGGCTTCAGTTGTAATACTTCCTAATCTTTTAATGATTGAGTCCTTTTTTTCATCTAATACTCGATGTCTGTACTAAATCATCATCACCATCATCTTTCACTTCAGAACAACCATACTTTGTTGAAAAACTGGAGCCGGTGGAAGTAACTATGGGTGAACCAGTGACCCTGAGATGCCGTATTGCTGGAACTCCTGACATATCCGTAGCTTGGTTTAAGGCTGATGGAAACCTGCGCAAGTCTGAAACTTGCTCAATGGATTTCTCAAATGATGTCGCCACTTTGAAATTGATGAAAACGACCAAGTTTGACCACAGCGAATTCATCTGCAAGGCCGAGAACCGAGTGGGTTCAGCCTCCACCAGCTGTAATGTGACAGTGAAAGGTGACGCTTGTTTCCATTCTTCTTTTTTCTATGTTAATGAACATGTATTGAAAATGTAGTCAACGACTGACTGCAGATCAGCCTGTTGATGACGATAGACACAGAGACTGTGTCTGGCTCGATTATCCAAGACTATCCTTAAGATTTCCTCAGGTGAAAAATACTAATGTAGCTTTGTTTTCATACTTTGCTCAGTCACATTGACATTAACATAGAAGCATAGCAATGCATGGCAATATAGCAGTGGGCTCATTTCTAACATCAGCTTTGCTTCTCTCAGAACCTGTGCGCTTTAGAAAAATGCTGGAGGACACAACTTTCATAGTTGGTCAGCCACTGAAACTAGTCTGCACCTACACTGGGAGCCAGAGGGTCTACGTCACATGGAAGAAGGACAACAAGCTGATTTGGGCATCTTATCAATATAATGTTAAAACAACCGCGTCAACCTGCATTCTGGAGGTGCTCAACAGCGACAGACCTGAGGCAGCTGGAACATACACTTGTGAAATTTCCAACGGAGCTGGAACCGACATCTGCCACGCTCGTGTCAGCCTAGGTAATGTCTCAAATTCTCAAAACATCATCTGCTTTCAATTCATTAATCAACAGAGAACTCGTGTTGTTGTTGAGTAGCAGCAATAGAATGTTCATCAGGTACTAACAAAACCATCTTATTTAGATGAGACAACTGCATGATCTTTATAACCTGCCTACCAGCACAAAATAACGCATGCCACTAATCCAACCATTACTCCTCCTAGAGCCTGCTCACTTCATGAAAAAGCTCAAAGACACGTATTTCAGACTCTGCGAACCTTTGACCCTCAAGTGCACATACAAAGAGTGTGTGTGACCTGGAAGAAGGATGGGAAACTGATATGGGCATCCTATAAGTACAACGTCAAGACCACCAATGACACCTGCATCCTGGAAGTCCTCAACAGTGACAGAAAAGAGGCTGTCGGAAGATACACCTGTGAAATTTGACATCTGTCATGCTAATGTTAAACTAGGTAACCATGTTAGCTACCTAGCTCATTATTTCATTTCAGGGATCATTGAAAACATTCCATGTCCATAACATATTACATATATTAAATTCAGGAACTTATTGGTCACATTAATGTTACTGTATTAGCTTGAGTTTAGAGGCTAAACCTCACTGCTTACATCATCTAACACCACTTGCTAACTGATTTCTTAGAACCTTTTCGCTTTGTGAGAAAACTGAGAGACACCTTCTATAAAATCGGCCACCCTCTGACACTGGAGTGCACGTTCACCGGCAGCCAGAGGATTCATGTCAGCTGGATGGAAAACCCATTTGGGCTTCATACAAATACAACGTCAAGACGACCAACTTCTCCAGCACCCTGGAAGTTCTCAACAGTGATCGGCGGGAAGCTGTTGGGAAATACTCATGCAAGATTTCCAATTCAGAAGGCTCTGCTATTTGCCAAGCTGTGGTGAAGATAGGCCACTATAAAGCCACTAACAACTTCACCTCATGAATCATCATTCCAATCCTTTCATGTAAACATTAATCATGAACCCAACATCACCTTTGCTTCCTGTAGAACCTGTGCGCTTTTTAAAAGAACTGGAAGACACCACTTTCAGACTTGGCAAGCCGTTGTCACTGTACTGCACTTACAGCGCCAGCCCCAACATCTATGTGAGCTGGAAAAAGGACGGCAGACCAATCTGGGCCTCCTACAAGTACAATGTCAGGATCACAGATAACACTTTTGTGTTCTGGAAGTTCTTAACAGTGACCGGCCCGAAGCAACCGGGAGATACTCCTGTGAAATCTCTAACTCTAAGAACTCTGCTATCTGCTATGCTCAGGTCAAATTAGGTAAAACAAGGATCAGAATGAGTGCTCATTGTTTTCAGTTTTCAAAATCTTTTATTGGTTTTGAGCCATCTAGGAACATTCTACATTAATTCACTGTAGTTTGTTGTTTTCTCTGTTTCCTTTATTTTCTTTTGTGAAAACGTTGGAGGATACCACCTTCAGGGTTGGTCAGCCTCTGAAGCTTGAAGTCACATACACAGGCAGCCAGCTCATCTATGTGAGCTGGAGTAAAAACGATAAACCAATCTGGGCTTTGTATAAGTACAACGTCAAGACAACAGACAACACCTGTGTCTTAGAGGTTCTCAACAGTGACAGAGAAGAGGCTGCTGGGAGATATTCCTGTGAAATATCCAATGCTAGTAGCTCTGCTGTCTGTCATGCTCATGTCAGACTAGGTAACTTCAGCTAACATGCTCATTCATTGATTTTCTAACTAATGTTAGACCAGGCTTCATGACATGACTAACAACATTATTGCTTCTCTCAGAACCAGTGCATTTTGTGAAAAAGCTAGAAGACATCATACTGTCTGGGTGCTCCTTTGTGTCTGATGTGCACGTACACTGGCAGTCAGCGAGTGCACGTGAGCTGGATGAAGGATGGGAAGCCAATCTGGGCTTCGTACAAGTACAACATCAAGACGAGCGACTCCTCATGCGTTTTGGACGTCCTCAATAGTGACAGAGAAGCAGCAGCTGGGGTCTATTCTTGTCAACTTTCTAACACAGAATGCTCTGTCATTTGTAAAAGCTCAAAGAAAGGTAGAAACATTCTCACCTCTCATTCACTAACACAACCAGCCAACATTTACAGACACATGGCTCTAGAAAGCAGAAGTTTCATCCTGCTCTTAGATTAGCTCTGGTTCCACTGGATTTTACTGCACAACTTAGTAAACAGCTAAGGGGAATGAAACTTTTCTTCTTGCAATCCTGAAATTATTTCATAGTCCCTGATAAGTGAACCAAGCAAAATGACTTTTACTTTCCATCATCGACATAGTGCCCTCCATTGTGTCAATACATTGTATAATTGACGCCAGCTGGTCTGGGACAATGGTGGCACTTTAGCGCTCTCACACAATTAAACTAAGGCTAATTTAATTTCATCAGTGATTAATAAATATAGATTCACAATTGAATTGTTATTATCAAATCAAATCAAATCACCTTTGCATCTTATAACCATCACTGTTTCTCACAGAACCTGCTCGCTTCAATAGGAAGCTGGAAAACACCACGTTCACACTCAGCAAATCGAAAAGTCTTAGAGTCGCCTTCAGCGGCAGCCAAAGAGTGACCTCGTATCAGTACAATGTGAGGACCGCAGACTGCAGCTCCGTCCTAGAAGTCCTCAACAGCGACAGAGAAGAAGCTTGTGGAAGATACACTTGTGAAATTTCCAATGCAGAAGGCTCAGATATCTGCCATGCTCATGTCACACTAGGTAAAACTAACCAGCTCCCCAGCAGTTCTTATTATTCATTTCATGCATTTATTGATTGATTCTTAGAGGTAACTTTCCACCACCTGACACCCCTACCATACCATACCATACCTTTACGTATGGTTCAAGATCTGTCCATTCACATAGCTTCCCTTTCTACACATGAAATCCTCCATGGACTCCTGGGATGGTTACATAGTCTCTCCTGCTCCACATGTACAGGACAGTGTTTTCTATGACTCATTTCAACATTGCTTCTCTCAGAGCCCGTACGCTTCGTCAAGAAACTCGAGGACGTCTGCCACGAGCTGGGTAAACCGCTCAGCCTTGCGTGCACTTCCAGCGGCAGTCACAGGGTCCATGTGACGTGGAAGAAAGACGACAAGCTCATCTGGGCTTCGTATCAGTACAACGTCAAAACTACTGACTCCTCCTGCATGCTGGGCGTCCTCTACAGCGACAGAGGGGCGGCGGGAAAATACACTTGTGAAATTTCCAATGCAGATGGAACTGACACCTGTCATGTTCATGTTAAAATAGGTAACACACTAACACTTTTCCATTTCAACTCATTCCCCTCATGTGGTTGTCATCACTAATGCTAACCTCCAGTGCAACAATGGTTTCTCATTTCTCATGGTTCCGGACGTTGTCTTGTTGGTGGTTTTCTGGTCCTGTGGTTGTTGGGTTTGGAAAGAGCAGGTTGTATCTTGGCTCCGACGTTTCTGAGAGCATGCTGTTCTTTTCGCTGTGGTTGGGTCAGATGCTGTACATCACATTTGGAAAGTTTTTTATTATTAGGTGGATATTCTGTATTTGTTTACTGTTGTGTTGCAGTTCATGTTGTTGTTGTCTTATGTGCTGCGCCTCTTTGTTTCCTTGACGCTCTGGTAACAGCCCGCTGGCCTGGTGAACAATACAATTTACATTTCAAGTATTTCAGAACATGGGTTGATTTTCTTCCTTTTCTCTACTAACAGAACGAAAGGTCCCTCCAAACTTCACCAAGAGGCCCTCGGAGTCCATGGTGGATTCAGTGGGTAAGACAGTGAAGATGGAGGGTCGGGTGTCTGGCTCACAGCCACTCAGCGTCACGTGGTACAAGGACAACAATGAAATCTATGCGTCCGACAAATATGACATCAGCTTCAAGAATAATGTGGCTGTGCTGTGTGTGAGAGACTCCACCAGCTCTGACGGCGGCGCGTACACCTGCGAGGCCACCAACGAAGCTGGAAAAGCTTTGTGTCGGGTTTCTCTCAACATTTCAGGTATGAGCATGTCGTCTGTCTTCAGTCTTAGGCCAACAATGATCAGACTTAAATTGTGTACTTCTTTAAAGTTGGATTTGATCTTCAGGTCAAATGTGAAGACACAACACATCTGGAGTCTCAGATATTTGTTGTGTCATCCATCTTGGTTCAGTTGGTCCATCTTTAATACATTTCTGACTTCTTAGGACCCGAGAACTGTTCAACATGAGCAACATGCATCTTTCGTCAACCAATCAAAAAGCAGGAAATAGTGGCCCTCAACGTGTTTTTAATCTTTTAGCTTACTTTGGCTGCTAAGCTAGCTAGGCACATGCTTGTTGAAATAAACGAGCTAGCTTGTTATTAACTAGCTAATTATAATTCATAAAAATTCTCAGTTTTGTCATTAATTGGGCGATGAATTGAAGATTTTTCTATTGTATATTAAGCTCTGTTCAAATGCCAGCACTACAGATATATAAAACAAAATCTTTTAATGACATGTTATAAATGCTGGTGTCTCTCAGTCGTGAGATTCTTTATTTCATAGCTTTGTACTTTTCTCAGGAGGAGAAAGTTAAAGTTTCAAATTAGAGGTTTTTCGCAGCTGATGTCTTCGACCAGAAGAACGGAAACAATTCTTTTTTCAGTTGAAAAGCAAAATCAGGAGGTGTCCTGCTTCTTTCCCGTCCCTCCTTCAGAAACTAGCCAAGCTCCTAAATTTGACATTTGCCTGGAGCCGGTGACCGTGAGCGAGGGTGAGAAGCTGAGCCTCAAATGCCTTGTGAGCGGCTCTCCTCCACTCACCATCCAGTGGATGAAAGACAGGAGGGAGCTGAAGTCCAGCGGAAACACCAGGATCACGTTTGTTGGTGGGAGGGCCTGTCTGGAGATCAGCCCTGTGTCAAAGAGCGACGCAGGAGATTACCTGTGCAAGGCCAGCAATGCTACGGGCAGCGACTTCTGCAAGTCCAGGGTCAATGTGCAAGGTAACAACATCCGTCTGTGATAAGCAGTTGCATCTCTTAATTTCTCTGATTGTTTCATCTTCTCTTCTGTTTGCTCTTTATTTTACACTTGTTCTTGATCACTCACCCTTTTCCTCTCAGCTGTTTATTTGACTTGGGTAAAAATGGTTTTGGAATCTTCTGCAAAGTTCAGGTGGTTTTTCTCAACGAAAGCTTTAACTTGTCCAGTTGATTTTTATTCAGTCATACCTGTGTAATAAAAGCCTTGTAAGTCTCACGCCTGCTCAGACATAAGAAGACTCTTTTACAGAGAATGTAGAATGATCATGATTATGATTATGACCATGATTATGATCATTCTTCTGATAAAATATATCTGTATCTATCGATGGAGCACGTTTTTTGGTTTCATTCAACCAAAAGTCACCTTCATGATTTCTTCTCAGACAAAGGAGCCAAGGCCGTCCCCGCCGTGGCAGCCACGGCTGCCCCAGCTGCAGCTGCTCCGGTCAAAAGACTTGACAACCTGTTCTTCATCGAGGAACCTAAAAATGTATCTGTCTCAGAGAGTAAGTAAAGTTTTCTGTGGAAACACTTCAGTGTTCACTTGTTACGTCTTTAAAAAACAGAGAGACTCGACTTTCATCATTTAAAATCACAACATGACAAGTTAAAGTGAAACAATCGATCACAGCAGAATTACAAACACTGAAAAGAGTCAATGTGCAGCTACATGTTTTCTGTATTTTTTACAGAGGGCACAGCAGCCTTTATTGCCAAGATTGGAGGCGACCCGATCCCCAGTGTGAAGTGGATGAAGGGCAAATGGAGGCAGATCACTCATGGTGGTCGTATCTCCATCGAGCAGAAGGGCCAGGAAGCCAAACTGGAGATCAGAGAGGTGACCAAGTCTGACGCCGGTCACTACAGATGTGTCGCAGCCAACAGACATGGGGAGATTGAGTGCAGCTCTGAGATGGAGGTTTCCAAAAAGGAGGAAGTGGAAGGATTTGGAGACTTAAGGACAAGACTGAAGAAGTAAGACCTTTGTTGATAGTTGGATTGATTTAATTTGACTGAAGTTTGAGTTTTGAGACAGGAAAAAGAAAATGAACATTAACAGAAAATCTCTTGTGTTTCATTTTGTTTCCAGGACTCCCTCCAAGCAGAAGAGCCCAAAGAAAGAACAAGAGGTCGATATTGTGGAGTTGCTGAGAGGTCACGACCCTAAAGACTACGAGAAGATACTGCATGAACATGGAATCCACGACTACCGGGCCATCCTGCAGGCCATCGAGTTCCTGAAGAGGGAGAAGGAGATGGAGACTGGAAAAGTGGTGAGAGACACACAACTGATCCTGATGATGAAACAATACCGTGAAAATACAGCTGCTGGAAATATGTTTCAGCTCCTGAGCAAAGAAACGTACAAATCAATCTTTAACATTTAAGACTGTCTTGCTCTGGTGTAGTTGCTACAACCATCATCTTTCCTGCTGCAGGAATTGGAGCACGGAGGTCGGGTTGAAGAGGAGGATATGGCCAAACTCATCCAGCAGCTGGAGGGACGTGTCGGCACTGAGGTACAATCAGACAGTCACATTTTATTTGTCTCATATTCAGTTTGTCTCATCGACGTCCTCTGTCCTGGCAAGAGTCAAACTACAGAGACACTTTCTGAGCAGTGAATGAAGCTCAGAGTCTCATGTGAGGATCCGTCTCCAGGACACGAGGACAATAGATGCTGATGAACTGAAGACATCAACACAACAACAGATTCTCTACATTAGAAGAAACTTCATGTTTAAAGTATTTGTACATGAGAACATGTCTGATCGAGATGAAGGAGCAGAATATATATAACAGTCATTCAGCACATCTATACACTTTTTCCCTCTTGACATATTTTTGTTAAATTAAAAAAAAGATCTTTTGTCAATGTAAGAAAATTGGGAGATGAAGTTGTCGAACATATTGTGAAAGTTGATGAAAATTAACTTTTACTAAAGAATCAGCTTTATAGTTATTGAATCAAAACTAAAGACAGGATTGAATCTGGAGATTATTTTTACTTCTTTAAATTCAACTTCACATTAAAACAGAAATTTGTATGATTTTATAGTTTTTATGCGCTGATGAAAAATGTCACATGTTCCAGTCGTATTTTCTGATGTAAACATAATGAACACTGATGTTGTTCAGCCCGTCTCTGTCGTGGAGGACATCAGTGACCAGACGGTGACTGAGAACCAGAGCGCCACCTTCGGGTGTCAGATCAGGATCAACTACCCAGAGATCACTCTGACCTGGTACAAGGGAACGCAGAAACTCGACAAAAGCAACAAGTATGACATCAGCAGTGTGGGAGACCGCCATTATCTGAAGATCATCAACTGCCAGGTCAAAGATCAGGGCAACTACCGTGTTGTGTGTGGTCCTCACATCTCCAACGCCAAACTCAGCGTGTCAGGTAAGAGTCTGACTCTTTTCACTTCCTGTCTGGGCTCGAGTCAGTTCGTCTTTCGTGTGTCGTTTTGTTTTTGTCAGGTTCTAAATCAGGTGAAACTCACTGAACTCTTTGATCCTTACGGGTTGTGTGTGTTTTTGTCTTTTTCTTGTTTCGCGTTTCTTCCCCTTTGTCGAGACTTAAAGTCTTAAAATATAAAAAAAACAACTTTGACAAATAATCAGTGTTTTGAAAAACCAGACATTCACTGTCATTATCTGGTTTTAGCCAAAAAAATTCAGTTCACTAAATGCATCAGAAGCATCGAGGTCAGTGAACGCCACTCTGCCACCTTCGAGTGCGAGTTGTCCTTTGACAACGCCAACGTCACATGGTACAAAGACTCATGGGAGCTTAAAGAGAGTCCAAAATATAACTTCAGGACTGAGGGCCGACGGCACTTTATGACCATCTGCGACGTTACGGCAGAGGATGAAGGTTCGTTCAACAGAAAGAGATTCTGACTCTCTTCAGTGTCACTGACTCAAACAGGAAGTAGTTTAATATTCACAGTTTAAGAAACACTGAGGGCTCCCCCTCTTCATTAAAGTATACGGTTTCATTTTAAGTGTCTTAGTAAAACTTTATTTAAACAGCAGCGTTAACACTGTATCTGCTCCGTCAGGAGTTTACTCTGTGATCGCTCAACTGGAGCCGAAGGGAGAAGCTCGAGGTTCCGCTGAGCTTCACCTCACAGACAAAGGTCCGCCTCTCTCTCAGTCCAGTTATCAGAACACAATCAGATTATCAAAAGAAATCTATTCCCTGTGATAACCTGTGGTACCTTGTTCCTTCACAGACGTTGTGTTAGGAAAGGTTCCTCAGGGTGAGTATTTTATAAAAACGTTATTATAAACGACAGTTTAACTGAACACTTGAGATAATACAAACATGTAGACTTGTTATTAAATGAAGTAATTTGTGTAAAAACCTTCAGATGTCCCCGACGTGTCGCTTCCAGCAACAGAAACAGACTCTTACGTTTTCAGAGGTGAGTCTGTTTCCATCAGTCGAACTTAATGTCGCCCCCTCGACTCTGACGTCACTTTGACACTCATCAATATTTTTCTACCCAAAGATTCCTCAGAAATGTATCACTACGAAGAAACAACACGAATTAAAGGTACAAACGTTTGACTCAACTAAACGATAAAGTTCGAACTAACTATCGTCACTTCTACGATCTGCGTGAAGGAATGTGACGATTCTCCTACTCATCCATCAACAGCAACGTTTAATCGTTTCCCTCCATCTTAAACTGTAACCATCATCTTCTTCATCCTAAAACCTGTGCTCATCATCATCACTGCTCCTAATATACCTCAACATGTGACGTGTGCTGTCATCAAATCTACTATTTAACTAAATTACAACTTTCATCTGTGAAAACATTTCAAATGTAACTAAATGATCAAATACACAGAAGAAGATTCATCTTAGAGATAAAAGTCAGAACTATGAAAGAATTTAAATTCTCATTAGATTCCAAATATATGAACATTCACTTTATTTATAAGATTTGTAAGATAAAATATAGAGATTAAAAAATCTAAATTTAAATCTGAATTTCTCAGATTATATCTAAACGTCACGAGGAATTTTTCTTATTTATTAATTTTCACTTAGAGAAGAACTGATTACAAATGTAAAGTCTGACTTTAATCTGGAGATGAATCTTCATCTGTGGGAATCAAACCTGCAGCGATGAAACTCTTCACTTTGAGACAGTTTCTGTTGGTTTCTCCTCCGTCACAGATGTCATCATTTTTCTGTTTATATGTAGAATCACATCATCATCATATAAACTGATCGTCTGTCTTCTCCCTGTGTTTCTGTCTTTTATACGTTTTCTTTTATAATCGTTCTCATCATGTTTCCTAACTGTTGCAGTCTATTTGAAGTAAATTAATAATGGGGGATAATTAGAGACCTGCGACGTCTCTGTAGGTCAGACTGAGGGTTTTTTCCTAAGTTCAGTTTTCTTCTTCACCAGAAGAGAGAAAAACCATAGAGGAAGTTGTTGAGAAGACTCAGTTCGAGAGCAGAGAAGAAATCCCTGAAGGTATAAACCCGCAACAAAAGCTTGTGGCTGAAACGTAACAAAGCCGCTGGTCAAAGCTGCCGTTTCCGCTCATTCACCCTTTTCACGTGTAAAACGCTTCAAACGCCTCCTGCTGCTCTTAGAAGCTTTTTAACGTTCTCACACTTGAGCTGTTTGTGTCGTAGACATTGGTTTGGTCTCGTCTTCTACTTTCTTGTTTGTCTTATTCGTGTTTCCTATTCTTGAGTCTTTCCTCTTCCTCTTACGCTCTTGTTAATGCGCAGCAGCTTTCTGTCCAGTAGATGGCAGTAGAGAGTAGACGTTTTGTCGTCATGGTTTTGATGCGAACTCTCTTGATTCTTTAAGTTGCTGAGGTTTACAGGAGAGTGGAGGAGAAGCGCTCTGACGCTGCAGCTCCAGTCGAAGGTAATTTCTTCTTCTCTCATTCGTTTACGTATTAAATCTTTTCTTCTTCGACCCACTGTTTGTTCTTCTGTTTCTCTTAATGGGCTATAACAAATCTTGGTGTTAGAATCAACTATGGTCAGAAAACTGATATCATTGATAATGTTTTAAAGTACCTGAAGCAAAGAAGCTGCAGCCTGAGGGTGGCGCTGTTGCTCAGTGGGAAGAAGCTCTGGCTCCAGAAGGTAAAGTTCATGATGACATAAAAGAGCTTTGCTGTTTGTGAACTTAAACAGTCTTTATCATCTCATTTATTGTTAATATGATTCATGTGTTTGCTT